GACCTGCTATAGGATGAAGATTTTAAAAATCTTCTGATAATGTATTATTTACTCAGTACATATCAAAGGACTTTCTAAACAGATGAGCTTTTAGTTTTCCCTTAAAGTCATTGATGTTTACACATTTCCTGATTTCTTGAGGAAGGTTGTTCCATAATCTTGGAGCAGATGAAGAGAAGGCTCTTGGTGGACTGTTTATAGGGCAATGAAGAGACACATCTCTGCCACCACTGGGATTGTACTTGACAAGGTTTGACAGGTATGAAGGTGCTAGTCCATGGAGCAGTTTGAAAGTTAGCAGGAGTATTTTAAATTCAATACGTTCTTGTACCTTGAGCCAATGAAGTTCTTTTATGTAGGGCTCAACTTCTTCTCTCCTCTTTAGACCTTTAACTAAGCGACATGCTCTGTTTTGCAGAGATTGTAGCTGTTTCAAAACAGAATGATTAGTACCATAGTAAAGTGCATTGCAGTAGTCAAGCGAACTAATAACAAGAGATTGTACGATGATTTGCATTTGATCTTCAGAGAGGAATGGTTTCATCTTTGCAATATTCCGCATCTTGTGGCAGTTTGCAGCTTTAAGCTTCTTTATCTGAGGATTTAGAGTCAGAGAGGAATCCAATGTAAAGCCAAGGTTTTTGGTAACGTTAACAAGTCTTATACAGACAGAAGATTTCAGGAAGACACCACCAATTTCTAATTCTGACAATAAACGTTTTGAACCAAAAACTATAATTTCAGTTTTAGTTGGATTCAGAAGAAGGAAGTGATTCGTCATCCAGGTCTCGATTTCTCTAAAACAGGAGGGCAGGTCTTCGCTGAGGACTTGATATTCTGTAGCGGATGAAAATGACTTGTAGATCTGGTGATCATCAGCATAGCCATGGATCAGAAATTGCTTTGATTTTACAGAAGAGTAAATTGAGCGGATGTAGATATTGAACAACACAGGGCCAAGGACAGAGCCCTGTGGGACACCAAACTTTATTACAATTTCTTCAGATTCTAGGTCACCTATCTTGACTTTTTGACAACGACCACGGATGAAGCTGGTGAACCATTTCAAGGCTGTTCCCGCAATCCCAATCTCACACTTCAATATATTGATCAGTTTGATATGGTCAACTGTGTCGAATGCAGCACTCAGGTCTAAAAGCATTACAACTGTTGCTGTGTTTTCATTAGTGGCTATGAGGAGGTCATTGACTATGGTAATGAGGAGTGTTTCTGTGCTGTGATGCTTTTTGTAACCAGACTGGTGGTCGATGTTGAGATTATTCTTGGCTAGATGTTCATTGAGGCATTTTAATACAAAGCGCTCAATGAGTTTACCGATGAATGTAAGATTAGAGATGGGTCTATAATTCTTTAAGTTCTCAGTGTCTAGGGAATCTCCTTTGATTAGGGGAGTGAGATGTGCTAGTTTGATTCCCTCCATACTTCCAGTTGAAAGAGAAACGTTGATAATATCACAAAGGGTAGGGAGGATTAGCTCAAGGTGCTCTGACAAGAGTTCTTTAGGTAGTGGATCAATCGATGAGGTTTTGATGCCAGATTCTTTGATCAATTCTCTTACTTCAAAAATAGTAGCTTTTCTAAATTCAGATAATGCCTGGCCATTGAAGTTTGGAGAACTATTAGTCACAGTAGTGTTGGGAAATGATGTTCGGATTTTCTCAATTTTTTCTGTAAAATACTGGTTAAAGGCATTTACAGTTTCCTGAAGATTTTCTGAAGATGGTAAAGTGAGGTTCTTTTCTTTATCCAGGAAAGTGTCTACAAATTTGTAAAGGCTCTTTTGTGAGTGTTTGTATTTTTGGAAAGTATTAGAGAAAAACAGTTTTTTCTTTGTGAGAGTCAGCTCTGAACAGTGCTCTCGCAAATGAACAAAGATATCATGATCAATGTCAAGACTTGACTTTTTCCAGGCTTTCTCAGCCTTTCTTCTGTCGGCTCTTGCAACTTTGTACTCGCCATCAAACCAGGGAGCAGTGGGAATGTCTTTGATGGTTTTGGAATATTCTGGAGCATGTACATTTAGTATATGTTGACACCCATTGTTAAATTGAGTCACAACATCAGAGAAGCTCTTTTCTTCAAAAACCAACTCAGATAGAGCAACAGATAAATCACCTTTAAATTGTTCCTGATCTATGTCTCTGATCTTTCTAAAGCGTATGACTTTCTCACATTTGTCGATGTCAGGAGGCTTATGAAGCTGAAATATAATCGGATAGTGGTCACAGGATGGGAAGCTTTTGGCCATGTTTTGCATTACCTCAACAGAAGTTTGATCTACTACTTTGTGCGACGAAATAACAGGATCAAGGATGTGACCTTTTTTATGTGTTGGTGAGTAGACAAGTTGATGAAGCCCAAAAGATGATAGTATGGTGCTCCACTCGCTCACATGGGCAGAGATTCTGTCTAGGTGCATATTAACATCTCCGCATAGCAAGAAATGCTTGTATTTTGAGAATGCATCCGCCAGGAAATCTTCAAAATCAGAGAGGAAATTTCCCAAGGACCCAGGTGGACGGTAGACACAGGAGCAGAAGACGACAGACCCATCAACGAGTTTCAGTTTTGCGTTAATTGCCTCAAATGATCCGTCATTGTTGGCAAAAACTTTGATTAGACGAACACATGATTTGTAGATTATGGCAACACCTCCACCTGATTTGTCTTTGCGATACGCTTGGTAAAGTTTATAGCCATAGTTTTTTATTATTGCAGTGGTGTTGTTGTTCTCATCAGTTAGCCATGTTTCTGTAACAAAGAAAATAGATATGTTGTTATCTTCTAAAAAGTTCATAACATGGTCAACTTTGTTGTTTAGAGAGCGAACATTCCAGCTTGCACATTTCATACTAAGGCTCTTAACTCCAGTCTTGTTCTTCACCAGTTTTTTTGGGTGTAATATGAGATTGAATGCTTAAGCTTGTGCTGTTCAGAGATATAGGCTGGACATGATCTATCTGTGGCTGAGTGTGTGTACTGTTCATCAGTTCTATTAGAATTTTTACAGTTAGCACAGGAGGGTTGAAAGGAATGTGTGTCTTTATTTGTACATGAGTTAGTTTCATGATCTTCAGTGCAATGAGCACAGACATGGTTAGATGCTTGGCACTGGGCTGAGTAATGACCAAACTTTTGGCATTTATTACATCGTTTGATGTAAAAGTGATCATACACCTTGCAGCGGTACAAACCTATCGATAGGAAATTGTCACGATTTTCGATTAGCTTCCTTATGGCATTGCTCACTCTAACAGAAGCTTGAAAAAGTGGTTTTTCTGTTTGATAATTTCGTTGTTTGCGGACTGAGAGTACAGAGAATGTTTCACCAGAATCAATGAGGGACTTGATGTCAGGGTAAAGTTTCATAATGGTTTCAAAGAGATCATCGGTTGTGATTTCATCTCTAATCCCGGAAATGGATATCGTAGGCAATTTGGTTATAGGTTGCTTGAGATCAGATTTGGGAAATTTTTTGGAGATAGATTGAACTAGCTTTGTTCGATCAGCTTGACTAGATGTGGTGATAACTGTCTCACCTTTCTTGTTTTCGAAGGTATTATCTACAAAAATGTTATTTTCTGTGATAATAGTTTTAAGGTCAGATAATGGAACTTTTTCTCCCCCTTCAGAGACTATTACTGAAGCTGGATGCCTCAGTTTTTCTACTCTGCTGCTGTCGCGCCAGGGATTTTCGACAGCACCATTAGAGCCACCAGTTTCATGGTTACTATTAACTGGTGAAAGGGTTGGTGATATGGAACAGTTTCCTGCGGTCAAACTTAATTCATGAAGAGTGGCAGGATTTAACAAGAGATTTTTAATGGTGTCTATGTCAGCATCTAGTTTTGACATTTTTGTTTCAAGGGTGTGTACATGGGTTTTTAAATCAGCAGCGTTTCTCAGGTTTGCTAATGTAACACAAGAGTCACAATGGAAGAGGAAACTTCCAAAACGTTTACCTTTCTGTTTTGATTCAGTGTTAGCATTGAAAGATTTCAGTAAGGACGGGGAGCATACATTATCAGGAAAGTTAACACGTTTACCGTCCTTTAGTTCGTAACAAGTAGCGTGAAAATTGCTCTTACATTCATAACAACATACCACTTCTAATTCTCCTTTAGAATCAAACGAGCAGTTTCTGCAGATTCCATCAGCAGCTAACATACGTGGATCGTTCACAACAAAACAAGGGGGGCTGGCACTATCATCATTGTCATTATCATTACCATTGTCATGTTGCCCCTGTAAGACATGATTTGAGGAGTCCAGCCCCTCTGAGTTTTGATCGGGATCTACCATTCTTTTGGGAGGATGGAGACAGATATAAAATCTTTTATGATGTATAACTCAGAAGTTTCGGGGTCCTCAAATTATTTGTTATATAGTAGTGTTGAAAGTATTAAAAGTAATAAGATCAGACTCAGCTGATCTTATGTCGTATGGCAAGGAATTAAATACTTTAACTGCACAGTGACTAAAAGCTTTCTCTGTGTTTACATAGTTAGGAGAGGGCGGAAAACTAAGGTATAAATAATCATTATCAAGACGTACATTTTTAAAACTTTGCTGCCTAGGAGATATCAACTCTTTTAAGTAAGGAGGAGCTATATTATTTAAACACTTGTAGGCAAGTAGGGCAATCTTAAAATCTATTCTAAATCTAACTGGTAGAAAATGAACTTTCTTAAGTAGTGGAGTAGTGTGTGCCTTTCTTCCTCTCCCGAAAATAAATCTTACAGCAGAATTTTTCACCTTCTGTAAACGACTTAAATCATAAGAGCTCAGTCCAAAATATACGCTATTGCAATAATCAATTCTAGAGAGTACTAGAGCATGAACAAGCTGAATCTTAAGGTTAAAAGACAGTTTTGATGCAATAAACCACAAATTTCTGATCTGAATATTACATGCTTGAACCACTGACGTAATCTGATCACTCATTGAAAGATAACTGTCCAAATACAGCCCAAGACTCTTCACAGTTCCACTAACAACATGTGGCTCTTGATCCTTAACAATCTGTAGAGAGGCTGGAATATTTGTTGAGTCAAATTTAGAGGATATAACGATGACTTCAGTCTTAGAAGAATTCAGTTGAAGGAAATTGTTTGTCATCCATTTCTTGATATCAGACATACAGTGTTCCATATTGTGCTCTAGCTGTGCTGGGTCATCAGAATCAAGAGTGAAATACAGCTGGGTGTCATCAGCATACAAATGAATACAGCACCCATGCATACTTGCAATGTTCTCAAGATCTTTGGTGTACAATATGAATAGCAGGGGGCCAAGGATTGAACCTTGTGGCACACCTATCTCAAGAACAGTTGCTGAGGAAGACGAATCCTTGACTTTGACACAAAATGAACGGTTAGCCAAGTAGGACCTGATCCATGTAAGAGAAATGCCTGTAATGCCATAAGCAGATCTTAGCTTCTTGATTAATCTTGGGTGATTGACAGTATCAAAGGCAGCACTCAAATCTAGAAGTAAAAGAACAACTTTAGTTTTCTTGTCAATAGTTATCAAGATGTCGTTATGGATTCTGGTTGTTCCAGTTTCACAGCTATGAAACTTCCTATAGCCGGACTGAACTTTAGAAAGCAAGTTGTTATCCTCAAGATAACTGGTGAGCTGTATAGATACACACTTCTCAATGATTTTTGACAAGAATGAGAGATTGCTAATAGGCCTATAGTTAGATAGAGATTCACCGTCAAGGCCACGTTTCTTCAAACTTGGACGAATGAGAGCCTCCTTAAGTTTTATAGGAAACTCACCTTTAACTAATGATTCATTGACTATAAATGAGATCAGAGGAAGGAGTTCTGGGAGACACTTGATGAGAATCTTTGTAGGTATGGGGTCAAGATCACAGAATTTTTTAGACATATTCTTTATGATGCTTACTAGTTCTTCATCAGACACATGACGGAATTGTACTATCTTTGGGCTATTAGAAAGAGGAACAAATTCATCTGAGTTAGGAGAATCTTGGGATTGTTGTTCTAAATAAATGTTGTTGTATATGTTGTCGACCTTTGATTTAAAGAACTGTGCAAAGTTGTTAGCACTCTCAAGATTTGAAGAGCAAGAAGGTGTAGTAGTACTAACTTTTTCTTTATTGAGCAACTTATTAACGATGGAATAAGTCTTTTTAGCATCACCTGCACTATCTTGTAACCTTGTTTTGTAGAAGTGATCTCTTGTGGATACAATGACTGAGGATGCTCTCTCTGATGCTTTCCTGTACAGTCGTTTATAATCTGGGCAATCATGATTCTTTTGATACAGTCTCTCAATCTTTCTTCTCATTGCTTTTGCTTGTTGACAGTGTGTAGACCACCATTCAGCGTTATGATCTTTTCTTGGGATGAAAGTTTTTTCTTTAGCATGCTTGTCCAAAATACTGCTCAACTCAGACTCATAGATATCAACTGCACTATCGAGGTCTTTGAAGCAATCAGTGTCACATAGTTTTGACTTAAGAATGTCCTCAACAAAAGCATCTAGGTCTATGCAAGCAATGTTTCTGTAAGTAATTGGTTCTAGAGTGCCTATGGGTGCTGGAGATACATTGCAATTGAAAGCAACAAAGTAGTGGTCAGACGATGTACCAGAATCAGTAATGACAGGATCTAGAACTTCAATGCAATCGTGAGTAAAAGAACCATCCCTGGTAATTACAAGATCTAATATGCCCCCATCTCTGTGTGTTGCAGCTGAAATTTGTTGCACCCACCCACAAGACTTAAGTAGTGAATTAAACCTTTGTGCAACTGAATCATTTTCGTCTTCAATGTGGATATTAAAATCACCCATGATCAAGGGCTTTCCAGGTTTGTCTACTAAATCAACCAAGAGTTGCTCAAAGTCAGTTAGAAATTGGGGGATGTTAGCACTCTGAGATGTGGAGGTGCCAGAACGGTAAATTGAAACAATTCGTAGTATATCTCCAGAAGATGATTTGAAGGTACATTCATTTTTTTAGATGGTCCGTTCGAGTAATGTCAGCGGTGGAGACGGTGGTGACGCCAACTCCAACATATTTAACCCGAAGAAGAAATCATTTGTATCAACAACCATTGCATTAATGATCAGCTTCGCCACATTTAACATCCGTGGGCTCGGTGTTCAGCAAGATGATAGCCTACATAGTAAACGTGAGTTACTAGGATTAGACTGTGAAAAGTACAATGTCGACATCTGCGCTCTGCAGGAAACTAAAGTCACCGAATCAGACAGCCTTGTTTTGCGCAACGGTTTTAACTTGTTTCTGTTCGAGCAGTTGGACAGTCGCCATGGAGGCTTGGGTTTTATAATCAGTCCTCGCATGATGAACTATGTGGTTTGCTGGAAGTACATCAGTGACCGGGTATGCTATGTCGATATTTGCATCCCCTCACGTAGCGGTACACCCCTACGTTGCAGGGTGATCAATGCCTACTGTCCACATCAGGGGCTAGTCCGTAAAAATCCAGTTGTTTTGGATAACTTTTATGGGCAGCTAAGAGAGGCCAAGAATGTACCCTCTAATGTGGAGTTGCAATTTCTGGGTGACTTTAATTCAAAACTGGGTAAATTATCCCCTTCTGATATTGAACAGGGTTTTGGTAGATATATGGGGAAATACGGAGTGGGAGTAAGGAACGAAAATGGTTCTAGATTACTGGATTTTATCTCAGAAAATAATCTGTTTGCTGTGAACACTAGTTTTATACAACCTAGCAGACGTGTTACATCATTTACTGGTTGGCGGAAGGATTGGTCGGCTGGTCGGTACAGTAAGAAGACACTGCCTGTATACTCTCAAATAGATTACATACTATGCCGAAATAGATCTAAGTGTCTTTTGACTCAATCAAGAACTTATGCTGGTACTAAAACATTTTCAGATCATAGACTTGTCATTGCTCGCATCAATTTCAGCAACATTCATCTTTGTTTCAAACCTAAACAACGTCGTGTTCCTTCTTATAATATATCAGAACTTGTAAGCAACAAAGATATGCAACATAAATATCACTTGGCCCTTGAAGGCAAGTTCTCAAATTTTGTGACCAGCAACGATCCAAATGCCGACCTTCAAAATCTTATGTCTCATATTCGTGATGCTGCCAATGTTTCCATCGGCCCCAAACCTAAAGCTCGCTTGAAACATCACAGCAGTGATGACACTCTCAAAGAGCTTGTTGAAAAGCGTCACGATCTCCGACAGCTACTTAACAATAATCAATCTCTTGATCGAACTACATTGAGGTCATCCATCAACCACCTCACTAATAGTATCCAGAAAAGATTAGTTGAAGTGAGGTCTGCTCAAGCTGATCAGACCTATAGTGATATTACTAACACAAACGATTCAAGGAAAATGTTTGAAGCAGTAAGACATCTTCAGAAAAGTAAACCACCTAATAACTCGATTGGTGTTCATGATGAAAATGGCTGTTTGATTGCATCTGACGACATGAAAGCTTCTGTTGTTAGAGACTATCTCGAAAAACAGCTGACTCGCAATGAGCAACCTCTCGAGCCTTTTGAGGGTCTACCACGTGCTCTCAATGTCCCTTTTACTGGAGTTGAAATACATGCAGCCACCTCTAGCTTGAAAAATGGGAGGGCAAATGGTCCCGATGGAATACCCAACGAGCTAATTAAGTACTCTAATAGTACAGTCCATGAACATTATGCTGGAATCATAAACAGTTGTTTCGAGACACATACTTTCCCCATTTCCATTGGAGAGGCTACTATAACACCCTTACAGAAGCCAAAAAAACCTATTGGTCCTCTGAAGAATTTACGTCCACTCACCTTGTCCAATGCAGCCAGAAAAATTCTGTCTATGGCTACTCTTAAAAGGATAGAAGAAAAAGTGAACGCTTTCACTGGTCCATGGCAGTGTGCATATAAACGCGCTCGTTCTTGTGCTGATATTGTTTGGTGTCAGCGAGTTCTACTGTCAGTTGTCCAAAGGAAGAAATGGGAGTATCATCGCATGGGCATTGATATGTCTAGTGCGTTTGACACGATCAAACGCACTACGATTCTTGAACTCCTGAAACTGTGTGGCTGTACTGAGGATGAGCTGAGGATTGTCCGGTTGTTGTTGTCCAACACAAAGCTACGGGTGAAGGTAAATGGAGTTCTTTCAGCTGAGTTTTTAAGTCTCCTTGGAGCTTTCCAAGGTGACTGTCTATCCGGCTGTCTGTTCACCCTTGTCTTGGCTGGTGCTTTGAATGAACTTAGATGGACTATAACAATCAGTTTAGATAGGCCGATCCCCCCGATTACTATTGCTGGCCTTCCACTTGACACTGAATATGCTGATGATGTTGACTTCAATGATGAAGAGGAAGACAACTTGAGAGCTATTTTGCCCCAGGCAACAGCTATACTCGAGAAATGGAACCTCTTTGTCAATGAAGACAAAACGGACTTCACTCATGTTTATTTAGCTAGTACGGGTGAAGTTGACAGTGATGGAAAATTAGTGTCGGGGAATGAAGCATGGAGGAAAAGTATCACTCTAGGGTCCGTCTTGTGTAGCAAAGCTGATATTCAGCGTCGCATAAACCTGGGATATGCTGCCTTTAACAATTACAAGAAGGCCTGGAGTGATAAACTGCCCCTAAATAAACGTCTAATACTGTATAATGCTTTAGTCGTATCAGTTCTTATGTACAACTCATCCTGTTGGGCCGTCCCCAAAATATTCCTTGAAAAACTAGATGTTGTTCACCGCAGACATCTTCGCACTATTTTGAATATAAAGTACCCAGGAGTCATCTCCAACAAAAACTTGTATAAACGCTGCAATGCTGAACCATTGTCAGAAAAAGTGGCCCGTAGTCGGTGGAGAATGTTAGGACATGTTTTGCGGGGTCCTATTGACGGACCAGCGTTTTCTTCCCTCAATTTTGCCATCAATACACTGGACTTACCAGGGAGAAGAGGAAGACCCCAAAGCAATCTATTCTCGCTGATTGTGCATGATTTATGTAAAAGAAATCTTTATTTGAATAATATCTTTGACCTGCATTATCTCCGTAATTTGAGTTATGACAAGAGATATTGGCGGAATTTGCAATGAAGTTTTTAATTTTTAGTTTTTGTTTTAGGGAAAGATTAGACTTGGGCGTTGTTTTTTAAACTATCCCTTGTTTAGAACTTTGATTTAATAATTCACAAGACTCAAACGTTTTGAATCGCTTGCACTTCTGAGGAGTCACTTTAAGACTTTTCTTATATAGAACAGCAACACCTCCTCCCCGCCCAGCTCTTGGCTGGCTATGAATGGAATATCCAAGTTCTTTCATCTCAGAAAACTTAGCATTGTCATCTTTTCTCAGCCAAGTTTCTGTAGCACAGCAAATATCAGTATCAAAGTCTTCAAGCAATTGCATGACTCCAGCAGTTTTATTGCAGATGGATCTGCAATTGAACAGGGCAAAGTTCATACTCTGACATTCTGACTTAGAGTTTCTAGCTAGTTTTTTGAAGTAAGGATGTTTTGTTTATAACGATTCAATGCCTGTTGCATGATGGGGCACTGCTCTGAGCTGGAATGGTGAGTGTTACAGTGAGATGAGATTCTTGGATCTTTTGACAGACTGCAATTGCGACATCTATGTCTGCTAGGGTCTTCCTTGTAATGACAGTCTGATGTTCTATGCCTACCGCTGCAATACATACAAACCAGAGTTTCTTTCTCAGGACAATTTTGGGAAATATGGTGGAGCTTCTGACAATTATAGCACTGCTTGATGATGAATCTATCCTTTACAGGACAAGCACTATTCAGAATGAAGATTTTGCCGTCTCCTGTCAATAGGTTCCTAATCTGAGGAGAGACCTTGATCCCAGCAGTAGTGTACCTTAGTCCAACATTTATGTACACAATTTCAAAGAAATGCTCATTATCTAGCAAGTGTTTAAGTCCAGGATTTTTCAAGGGAATAATATCTAGAAGAGCTTTTTTAGTCTGTAACCGGAAATCTTCAGCGAGCAAACCAGAGCGATCAACGGTTTCGAATATCTGACTGGGAATATTAGACACAGTGACCTTAGGGAGAGCTTTCTGTGAGAGAGTGATGTGAAAACCAAGTAATTTAATGACATCAGAGTTTTCAATAAGACTTTTAGCCTTCAGCCTATCAGATGAAGATGGAAAAACTAGCGTTATCTTCTTGTGTGAATCTAGTAGGCTAGTTTTCATAGCAATCAATCGTGTGTCATAGAGCAACTCAGATAGAACATCTGGAGCAGATGAAATATCAGCAGAAGGAAAGGGACTATCTAGCACCAATATCTCTTTACTTTCCTTGCTAATTTGATTTATATTAGCGGACACTTTACTTGGCTGAGGAGAACTAGCACCACCTACAAGAGCTTCAGCAAAATTGCTGTAAGAGGACAGTGCACTTGGAGAATTAAGTAAAACAAAATTTAAGTAAAACAAAATTTGTTTGGAAGCTATGTAAAGAAACGTGTTGGTTTTTCTTGGGAGGATTATGACATTGCTCGTATCACGTTTCGATGAGTCTATATAGTACTATGTATAACGAGTATGGAGTGCACAATTTTATAATTTCGAAATATCTCAGACATACATTGGTATTTGTACAAGTTTTAAAGGGGGGGGGGGGGGGGTGTCACGTCCGTCTATGTCCGCTTGTCTCATAGAATCCAAAAAGGACAGGACATAGACGGACATAGGCGGACATAGGCGGACATAGACGGACATATGCGGACATAGGCGGACATAGGCGGACATTAATGGACACCTAAATTGCTAAATAAAATGTTCAATTTTTGCTGTTATAGGGGGATCATGTTTTTTGTCCGTTCGGTACCCTATATTTTCAAAACGGACAAAAAATAGAGCGGACAAAAACGGACAAAAATGGACAAAAACGGACAAAAATGGAAATAACATTTAGATGCTTCCTCCTCCTACTCTTCCTCCTCCTCCCCCTGGGTCTTCCTGATCTTCCTCAGTCCTCTTCCTCCTCCCCTCCTCAGTCCTCCTCCTACTCCTCGTCCTCGTCCTCAGTCCTCCTCATCAGTCCTCAACAGTCCTCCTCCTCCCCAGTCCTCCTCCTCCTCCTGAGTCCTCCTCCTGGGTCCTCCTCCTGGGTCCTCCTCCTCCTCTTCATCCTCCTCCTATTCCTCATCAGTCCTCCTCAGTCCTCCATCCTCCTCCTCAGTCCTCCCCCAGTCCCCCTCCTCCTCCTCCTATTCAGTCCCCCTCCTCCTCCTCCTCCTCCTTCTCAGTCCTCCTCCTCCTCCTTCTCTTCCCTCTCAGTCATCCTCCTCAGCCATCCTCCTCAGTCCTCCTCAGTCCTCCTCAGTCCTCCTCAGTCCTCCTCCTCAGTCCTCCTCCTCCTGGGTCCACCTCCTCCTCTTCATCCTCCTCCTCTTCCTCCTCGGTCCTCAGTCCTCCTCCTCCTGGGTCCTCCTCCTCATCCTTCTCATCAGTCCTCCTCCTCCCCAGTCCTCTCCCAGTCCCCCTCCTTCTCCTCCTCCTATTCAGTCCTCCTCCTCCTCCTCCTCAGTTCTCCTCAGTCCTCCTTCTCATTTCTCCTAAGTCCTCCTCCTGAGTCCTCCTCCTCTTCCTTCTGAGTCCTCCTCCTGAGTCCTCCTCCTCCTCCCTCTCAGTCATCCTCCTCAGTTATCCTCCTCAGCCATCCTCCCCAGCCATCCTCCTCAGCCATCCTCCTCAGTACTCCTCAGTCCTCCTTCTCAGTCATCGTCAGTCCTCCTCCTCAGTCCTCCTGGGTCCTCCTCCTCCTCCTGGGTCCTCCTCCTCCTCCTCCTCCTGGGTCCTCCTGGGTCTTCCTGATCCTCCCCAGTCCTCTTCCTCCTCCCCTCCTCAGTCCTCCCCCTACTCTTCCTCCTCTTCCTCAGTCCTCCTCATCAGTCCTCAACAGTTCTCCTCCTCCCCAGTCCTCCTCCTCCTCCTGGGGCCTTTTCCTGTGTCCTCCTCCTGGGTCCTCCTCCTCCTGGGTCCTCCTCCTCCTGGGTCCTCCTTCTCCTCCTCAGTCCTTCTCCTCCTCCTCCTCAGTCCTCTTCCTCCTCTTCCTCCTCCTCCTCCCTCTCAGTCATCCTCCTCAGTCATCCTCCTCAGTCATCCTCCTCAGCCATCCTCCTCAGTCCTCCTCCTTCTCAGTCCTCCTCAGTCCTCCTCCTGAGTCCTCCTCCTCCTGAGTCATCCTCCTCAGTTCTCCTCCTCCTCCTCCTAGGTCCTCCTTCTGGGTCCTCCTCCTCCTCCTCCTCCTGGGTCTTCCTGATCCTTCTCCTCCCTCTCAGTCATCCTCCTCAGTCATCCTCCTCAGTCATCCTCCTCAGCCATCCTCCTCAGCCATCCTTCTCAGCCATCCTCCTCGGTACTCTTCAGTACTCTTCAGTCCTCAAAATGTTTGTCCGCTAATGTCCACCAATGTCTGCTAATGTCCACCAATGTCCATCTAAGTCCGCCAATGTCCGTCCGGGTCCGCCAATGTCCGTCCGAGTCCGCCAATGTCCGTCCGAGTCCGCCAATGTCCGTCCGAGTCCGCCAATGTCCGTCCGAGTCCGCCAATGTCCGTCCGTGTCCGCCAATGTCCCAAAAAACACGTCCGTTGTCTCATAGAATCCAAAAAGGACAGGACATAGGCGGACATTGACGGACATGACACCCCCCCCCCTTTAAAAATAAAGAAAAACAAAATTTAAATTTTATAGCGATTACAATGAATAATGATATCATAATAAATATAAGTAGACATCCGATAATAGACTTGTTAAGTTCAGTACACTGTACAACCCAAGCTGCCGCCCGACTATCAAAATAAAAAGAGCTAGCATGTTCATAGTCCTTCTATGTCATATTAAGAAGTCAACATCATTTTTAAAATACAAAAATAAATTTTATCAAATTTAAAAAATATCAACAGTCAATATATCCGAAGATATTCTGATTGGCAGAACACAGTATGTTAAAAGAATTTATTTATAGTTCTTTTGCTGCTTAGGCGCAGCACCGCGCTTAAGCCACATGCGTTTCGGTGCGCCGCGCCTAAACTCTAAATATTGTTAAGATAAACGAGATTTTATGAAATAATTTAGCATTTAGCATGCTGACTTTGTAGGATATTAGAATTATACCTATACCAGTTCCAGTTCCAGATGTGAGTCAGCGCTTAAACCAAAAAGTAAAATACAATTCTACTCACAAACTCAAGCCTAAAACCGGCCAAACACAAAAATATAATATGTTATCGACGATTGGGTGGATTGATTCCCAAAATATTTATCAGCACGCAGCACTAATGTGAAGTTCATTATCGAATTTTAGTTTGGCATATATTATAGGACCATGCCATGGAGTAGAGCGTTTTACATATATAAGTTGGTAATGAGAAAATAATTAATGTTTGGTAATCGATCTTAATTAATTATTTATAATAGTCCGTTAAGGTATTTGGTACCACTGTACCAGGTTTGACAGAATGCAGCGACAGGAAGACGGGGACACGGGAGTGGGGAAAACAATGTACCATAAGGACAGAATACTACAGCCGAGTTGACAGTTGATGAGCAAGCCCAATTTCAATCGATTAAAAATGGGCTTGCTGGTACCTCAATCGTGAAATGAATAATTTGTTGAGGTTACCTTCATCCCAACAATGTGTGTTCTCACACAAATTTAATCTATTACATTGTCATGTTCAACTTTTTTGTTTAAAAAAAGTGGTTCACAACTGTGCTGTACTAGATATTGTTATGTTTTGATGGCCCTTGCAGACACATTGCTCCTGCATTTTATATTCATTTCCAACATTACATGAAATTGTAATGTTCCATTAAACTCGACTAGTGATAATAAAATACTATTATTAAGCTATGGCAGATGATTCCGAGTGGGAGAAACTTCCTGCCCTTGAAAAATGCTTGCACAAGGTAGCAATCCTTTCTTTTAACTTTTGATTGATTCAGATGATACTTTATCAAAATTTTACTCTATTGCCAGATTTTCAATCATCCCATATTAGATGTTTAGATATTTAATAAAGCTTTACCAAAGCAAGGAAAAATCTACATATTTGTTCAGTGGCGTAACAAAAGGCTCAACTGACCCTGCTGTGCAAAATCGTCGTTTGAATGTGGGACAATTTTGAAAAACTTAACAGGTTCTAGCAAAAGTGTGCGTTTTGCTCTAGAAACACACTTTTTGAGAGATTTTACTGGCGTATCCTCTACGCGCAAACAGGCAATGTTACGCCACTGTATTTGTTGCTTCTTCAAATAGTTTCCCCTACTTACATTTCTGTACTCATCAGAGTTGGAAAGCAAGATGTGCTGGATATGAAGAGGTCATGAAGGAGCTCCAGCTGCTCAAGTCAAATCCGAAGGATCCTAAATTTGACCAGGTTTGTGTACTACTGTCTACTAGTTAGGTTAAGCTTTTAAGCTCAGCTTCGTTTGTACTGGGGAATCTTAGGATGATAGAAGTATGTAGTTTTAGATTTTTAACATAATATTGTTACTGTCGTTTTAATATCATAATGACGGATAACCACTGTTTATTGTTTATCTTCTTGTAACGTTTAGCTTTAATTTCAGTACCTGGGAAACATAAAGAAGTTTATAGTTGACAGCAATGCAAACAGTCAGGAGAAAGGGTGCGCAGCAGCTCTAATGTTTATCACGTACGCTGACTGCGCTAAAAAGTTAGTTAACACATACCTAGAAATTGAGTTTACTTGTTACTGTATTATCTTAACATATTAGTTATTGAGAATAAGGATTCGGAATATTATATGTCACAATCTGTTCTGTATAAGAACTAAACTTAAATTTTAACGGATCACCAATAGTTACACATTAAAATACTATTAAAGTTCCTCTTTGGAATTGAGTTATGTCTTCTCAGTAGTGAGCCTAGCTGCAGGTATGGTAATTAATTGGGGGGGGGGGGGGGGCCTTAATTCTAAAAAATACAAAAAACGCTGTGAATTGTATCACCAATGACTTAATAAGTGTTAATTATAAATCTCGTCTGTAGCCTAGGACAGTTGCTGGTTCAAAATACACCAGCCTACATATCATTATTTACATAAGAAGCCAGAAAAGAGGCCTAGCTGTAGGGCTAGTGTGTAATGTGCAGTGTAATGAAATGTATATGGTAAATCGTACACCTTAATCAGACTGTGACAATATTTCTATTATCACTGAAAATTACATGGTACATATTAGTGTAGTGGTACATGTAGTGGTACATGTAGAGGTACATGTAGTGGTACATGTAGTGGTACATGTAGTGGTACATGTAGAGGTACATGTAGTGGTACATGTAGTGGTACATGTAGTGGTACATGTAGTGGTACATGTAGTGGTACATGTAGTGGTACATGTAGTGGTACATGTAGTGGTACATGTAGTGGTACACCTTAACAAGATTGTGACAACATGTCTACTTCTAGATATGTCGAGTTATTATCACTGGAATATACATGTAGTATGTACATTGTACATGTAGTTATTAATAGCCTTCAAATACCAAAAGTTAACGGGGAAATATCAAATTTCAAAAATTTCATTGAATTCCGATTTGCAGAGTTAACATGCTTTGAGTTTGAGTTGATGGTCAATACATATTTTACGTTTCAGGAATTCTTAAAAGAGTTTACCTTTAGATTGTTGGGTTGGTAAGAATGTAAAGTATTCAGTAGTAGATCCTGTAATGTAATGAAGATATTGTACGGCTTTATTTCGTCATCACTTATCATAGTACTAATTATACAAATGACAAGCTATGATATAACAATTAAATCATCGAATAATTATTCACTTTTCAACTCAAAATTAATAAATAAATAAACCCAGTTAAGTAGAAATGTTTACTGTAAAGCCATTCCATTTTTCAGTACTTGCACTACTGTGCTAACATTTTGTAATTACAACAACTGAATATGCTTATATTAACCTAAATATGAATACATAAGCATAATATGCATAAGAGTAATTCCTCCAAAATATAGATGGAAGTTATTCGCCATTAATCCTGCATATCTTAAACTAATTCTGAAGTTCTAGAATTTTCCCCTTTCATGGCGAAGATGCCGTTTCCACTTTTCTTCTTATACTCGAAGTGGAAGTATCACGTGTTATTGTCACGTGTGATTATAATCACACTAATTTGCAGAGTAGTAAAAGAAGCAGTGTCCGGTATCGTAGTTAAGGGGCTGAATGGGAAGCCTAAAACTAAAGACTTGTGTGCACAGATATTCCTAATGTGCGTGGAGATTGAGAAAGTAACGGACGCCAGAGAGGAAATACTGGAAGGTTTGTTGGTTTTTGTTAAGATTCAAGAATGTTTGTACATTTGTTACTTACTGGTTTAATTAATAGTCTGTTCTGGAAAAAAGCTAAGGGATCCTTAGCTTAGCCTTAGCCCTTATATGTGTTTTTTTGATAATTAGTTAATATCTATTTTATAGAATTTTCTAGCAATCACCTCTCTTTATTAAAGTTACTGCTACGCATGGCGTACAGTTCCTGCAAATTTAATATGTTACATAATAACCAACGTGTTACATCGTACGATGTACACTAACAATTAGCAGCGAGTGTACATTTGGAGCATGTATCGTTATATGGGTTTGAATAATGTACCACATACAGCTGTTATATAATACTGTATGTCGTATCTCATGTGGGGATGTTGTTAATTAATTAATTAGATTGTTAATTGATTATGGTTTGAGTAATGTGACAATGTGACATGTACATGTAAAGGGCTGTCGTGTGTAATGTGTATAGGACATGTTCATGGTTTAGGAAATAGTCCAGCTAACCAAGTGTAATCACGGAGGGGTTGTGTAAGGGACTAGTTACAGGACCGGTTACAGGAATAGAGCTCCTAATTAGTTGGGTCTAAATGTTCAGATGTAGTCCCATAATGGGGTCTGTGTAGTAAATAGCTGTGTAAATCTCTTGTTTAAATGTAAAGGTAATTAACTTATTATGCAATGTAAATCTGTAGGCATGTTGTTTTGGAATACAGCTTGCAGAACAATGTTGCAATCTGTTATAGATATTGGAAAATTGTTTAATACTATTTTCCTTATTTATTTTAGCAGTTTTTCTGACCTCAATTTACTGTGGTATGGCCGGCTCGGCCGAGTGACAGAAATTTCATCTGTTTATGATGTGTTTCATATATCATCTGTTCAACAAAATGAAATAAGCATAAATATCGTGTTACTTTAGCATATTTTATTGTTCAATCTAATTAGTGCACAATGAAATGCGAACCGATTTTAATTATTCCACTATCTATCAATTCGAGTTGACTAAAAGAAGGAAAATTTCAGCGTTTTCCAACAAACAACCCAAAATTGTGGCAGCAGCTGTGAACATCATCACAAAGAGTCTGAAGTAAGTACTTAATTAGAAAATTACTTAATTAGATAATTAGCTCTCATAAAATTCATTAATTTATAATTTATAATTTGATAAATTTCTTGTTTTTCATATTTTCATAGATTAGTGAGCACAAATTGAAGACAACATTGAATTCTATACACTACGTTTATATAATTCGTCTCTTTACGTACTTAAATCATACTTGTCAAACATCTAGTTTCGTCGATAATAGCGATTGTTACAAATAGCAATCACTACCCGACAATCTAGAACTAATCTAAACACTTCGGCACTTCTGTAGTCGGCAGCTCCGTACTGCATTGTAGACAAATTGTTTTAAAACACTCTAATATACATGCACTGTGTGACTTTATATCAGTGCGTTAAGTCACACTAGTGTTTAAAGTTCTGTTGGAATGTATCGCGTGTATTACTCCGCTAAACTTTTTATACTTCTGTAATGATGAGTGGATGAATGTAGGAAATCAGTGGGAAGGGTAAAATTAAGAGGAGTTTTTTATGTTTGATTCTCCTGACACACGTTTTATTGAAACTTGCCCAGTGGTTAGTAAGCTCACTTAGCTGTAATGACTATACAAAATCGGCACTTCCAATAATATGAAGAAGCGGGAAACTTGGTCTGAAAGGGTCTTCTTTAATTTGTTTTGCAATGCGCGAGACTAAAATTTGTTAGGACGTTCGCGCAAACTTGATTCAGCGCGCGCAGAAAAGTTACGCGCGTGAAAAGTTCGGCGCCAACTCCATTGCATCGTGCATCTAGCTTATTTGAATTCGATGATTTTGCCATCAACCGCCAATCATAATCACAATCATAATGTCGAAGTGTGTTATTATGGATTGGTGATGAACGGAGTGGAATTGTGTGTACTTACGCAGCGAATTCAAAATTGAATATTTGTACCGCTAAATTACACCTGCTGATCTAATGTCTAAGTTGTAACGGTCTTGATACAAGTAATGTGACACCAACAATACTCAACCTCACAACCTGTCGTCAGTCACATGCATTAGATAACGAAACATGCATGTTATGTTCCTGAAGCGAAAGTTAATCTGTCAAAAATAAGGTCAACTCAAACTGTAACAGCATTCCACTACTACTTATCCACTGTTTTACTAATCGAAAGATTGAATTCATCGGTAATGACATGTCATCTCGCTTGTATCTTAATTGTTATCAAACCTCATTTTATGAAAATGAAACCAGAAATTTGAAGGTCCCTCCATAAATTATTTCCGTTTTCATCATAGAATAAAAAGTATGAACTTGGGATGATATACAAATTCCATCACTTAGCTGTGGAAGACAAAACCTAGGTTCGACCGGGGATTGAACCCGGGACCTTCTGCGTGTAAAGCAGACGTGATAACCACTACACCACCGAACCCTTGTACAATGTGAAAGTTGGGTTTATTAATTTTAATAGAAATGACTAAACAGTGATTTGCGATGTAACGCACAGTATTTGGTTAAGCCTTTTAAAGTTTCATGGCACTTCATGATTTTTGCTCTAATCGGATGTCACTTTCAAAAGCATCTCTTTACATTAGATTATATATTTGCCAATCAAATCGTCGTGTGGGTTCGGTGGTGTAGTGGTTATCACGTCTGCTTTACACGCAGAAGGTCCCGGGTTCAATCCCCGGTCGAACCTGGGTTTTGTATCACGTAACCGTTCTATTTCAGCCAATTTGGTTCGAAAGTTTTTCCGATAAAACCATTGGTACAGAAATCCCTTCTCAAACCGATCATGGAGCACAAAGACGGCAAAGTCCGAGACGAGGTTAGTAATATCGAACGAAACATTTCTTTTCATCAACATTTTCTCTATACAATTTTGAACCCTCTCTTTGTCTTACTAATGTCCAAATTATTACATTCTGGGAAGTTGCTTCTGTAATTTGATTGTTTCTCCAGGGTAAAGCGTTGGTAACGGAGATGTACAGATGGCTTGGGGACACCTTGTCAAAACTGCTACCTACTCTTGAACTTAAAGAAGTCATGGTGAGTTGCTTCTAAATCCCTGTAGATTTATTTTAAATCTATGTTATTTAAACACTCTATATCACTCTACAGACTCTTTCCATACATTTTTTAGGGGATGGGGCCTTCAATAGTACTCTTATCCCCCCTTTTAATTTAAATTTTCAATTATAATGGTTTCAAAGAGATGTGAGATGTTCAAAGAGAAAATACTTGATGTGGTAAATCTGGATTTTGATAAAAGAAACTAATGTACATATTTTCTCGTTATTTAATTTGATTGTAAGAAAAAATGTGCGGCTGGTGCCAGGTAAGAAATCGTATAGAATCTGAGCTAGGAGCTTTCTTGTACAAAAATGTAAATTCTCAATTATATACAGTACGAATCTTACTCTGTTGTATCCGTGGACTGTTGGGATTGCTATCGAGTCCTATATGATTAAAACAGTATCATTTTCCATTGTAAGAATGCAACCCCACCGATCAGAAACAGTCATAAACTTGACTTGAAACAGGCATATATATCAGCATAATTAGCATATTTAGCATATCAGCATATTAACGTCATGACGTCACAGCCTGGTCCACTCTAAACTCTCTCAACATACTCGACTCCTCACACTTTGGTCTCCGTTACCCCATGATTACCAACCACCTCTTTCACCGGAGTTTTATCAGCAGAATTTGGCTCATCCATCCTCTGAAAGTGGGGTACTGACAGAGACAGGTTGATAATTAGGAGGAGTATACCGAGCGAGAGGATGAGGAGGAGCAGGGTCATGACCGCGGAGGTGGGAGCCAGAGCTCCGCACACCATGTTAAATGTACTGAGGTAGATGTTGTAGAGAGGACCACACCGCCCCACTATCTCCGTAAGCTGGTGTGTGGCTATGTCTCTGTAACATGTCACGTGACTTTCTGCCACGGGGAGCACTTCCATCATTTTTGTTCGGTACGTTGACTCGCTTTTGTTGAACATTTCCTCGTTTAAGGAGATTGCAATTTCAAATTCTTGATGCAAGTTTCGCAACATGCCCATTAACAACACACTGTTCGTTCTGTACATTGTGGACTTTGCAACAAGTTCATCATTATCAGATACCCAGTCCCTTTGCAGATATCCCATGTTGTTGACACATCCCTGCAGTTGCGATCTTTGAGCCCCCCAGTACAGGCTGTTTTTTGCCGTAGTTGCCTTCTTCTTAAACTGTTCGTACTTTTCAGGAGACAGTGTGACAAGACCTCTGTCTGTTTCTGTTAGATCGTCCAAGTATGGTAGTATGGTGTGCAACTCTCCTTCTTCCTCCTTTAGGTCCACATCTGATGTAGATATTCCCGTCATTATCTTTCCCTTTTCTTCTGTCGTGTAAAAGGTTTTGTACCAATGCTCGTGGGGGTTAAGACTGCTTTTTTCTGCAACTCTAGAGTAGTCAAGGAAATCGTCCAGATAAAAGTTGCTCGCTGGATCCCAGATACTCGTCAGATTCAAAACCTTGTAAAGCGCTTCATTTTCCCTGCAACCTGTAATCAAGTCAGAAAACCTTACATCTGAGGACATGTCACCAATAGCTCTAGAAATAATACTGGTACTGGTGGCGGTGCCATTGTCCCATAACCAGAAGGGGTTCATACCATCAGTACCGTCAGTACCGTTAGCTAACCGACAGGATTCCGTCAGCACACTTGAAATGGTAAAGTTGGGTATAGTGAGCGCCAGCACAACAATAGCTTGCACGTACAGAGAGAGAGTGGCTACCTTCATGATGGTCGCTATGTTATTAGAACTCCCAGATCTCTCAGTGGGCTTGTCCGAGTTCTCATCGGCGGTACAAAGACCACACGCGAAGAGAGCCACACAGAGCACAGCAGGTTAGAAAGGAGATAAGGAACACGGCTACAGTGAGCCAGTGAGTGTAGCTACTCTGCTGGGAGGAGGAGGAGGTGGAGGAGTAAGCGGGGTCACGTGATGGGACCCCTCCTGCCAGGCTCAGCTTCCAGGATTCTTTTATGGTTTCTATTTTGGGGAGGTTTTCAGTGATCCATGCCAGGAGTTTGATGTTGTGTTCCATGTGTTCAATTCTGTAAGGCTCGTTGTGGTTCATCAAGTCCTCGATTGTGGTGTTCCATATTTTCCAGTTTTTGAACGTAAATCCAGGTATGTCAAATGCCACAATTTCGTTGAATTCCGATATGTAGGGCCAGTTTGCCACATCTGCACCGGCTACCATCCTCAACGGTTCAACATTAGTTGCATTGAACACATCGTCACAGAATGTTTTCCTGTAATAGTTATTGTTTTCCTCTGTTTGTATATTTGCGTCATCACAATAGTTCGCATGAACTTAACAAACTTATTAAACAGTACTCATTTAGCTTTCATTTTAGACTTCACGTCTCCCGAAATAAAACTGCGAACAAAGTGAAACAAGGAACTAAGTAAAATGTAAAACCAAATTTTCGTCACGCATTGGACTTTATCAAGTCTAAAATGAAGCTAAATTCGTCTCAAACTCACGCTCAGCCTTAAGATATATTTAAACAGTACTCACAAAAAGTAAAATCAAGCACTTTACTAACTAGTACAGTTTATATCCGTCAAAATAACCGAAGGTACAAAGGAACGCGTTATGTAACGTTTTTTTAATAACGTTAAGACGGTACGTGACGCATCACGTAACGCGTCACGTCACGTCTAGCAGCTAGCTATAAAAAATAAGCTAATATATAATATATATATATAATAAGCTAAAATACTCGATCGCGTAACACATCGCGTGATGCATCTCGTGCCGTCTAGCTAGGGTCTAATAAATAGAACGCTGTACTAACCTGGTTTTACAATACCAGACCACACCATTGTAACAGTACGTCAGCTCACCCTGCTTGTCCTCTAAGATACTATTCATCTCCTGCAGTAAGATCATACTTTTATTTAGGGTATCCTGGACCTGCCACTGTAGTTTCTGCATCCGGACCAGCGTGTTGTTATATTCGACAGCGTAGGGTTCCTCCACCTGCATTGTTGCTGTAGCAGCTTTGTGCTGGTAATCTTCTATAGTCCCCTCCAGATTTGTGTGCAAGAACCCGAACTCGTCCACTCCAATAGCAGCCATATCCCTAGTAACATTGCTGAGATATCTTTCTAAGTACAGCTCGGTCTTGTCCACAAAGTCCACGAACATATCCTTACTCAGCTTTATATGCATGTTTGCTAACAAACCTGGTACACATTAAAAATATAATTTTAATCAATATAATTGAAAATGAGAATTGAAAATAATTTTATTCAATGTAAGTGAAAATGAGAATTAAAAATTGTGGTGTAACCTTTATTCTTAAAAACCAAAACCTTAAAACGTGCATTTGATTTATTTAAAAAAAAAAACACAGTAAAAAACAAACCACAGAGTGTGCACACGAAAAACACGGCCACTATCGCGAACATGGCGCACCCGTACGTGTTTTTAAGAGAGGTATTCCAGGGGCTTGGCTTCTGGATGGACGGACCACTACTCAACATTATAGAGAAGAGTGAGAGTAAAAATTTTAGGATAGTGAGGAGGAGGATGAAGGCACAGAGTATGATCACTGCACACCAGGATATCTGCATGTTGAGGAGCGATAGGATTTCAGAGATTGGAGGAATCCCGCTCTTAAACTTATCATACACGATATCAACCCATTCGAATAACCCTAAAGTTGAGAAAAGTGCCGCCACGAAGGATTTGAATATGTCTCCGATAGCCTGGAAACTCTTGTAATCCATGTAGAAAGAGTAGACTTCCTGGTCGTAGTAGTTGAGGTCCTGATAGTACTCCTTATAGTACGGGTTACATACAGGGTACTTTGGGGTATTCAGTCCGATCAGGGCCTCCCATACATTCATATCCCATTCCAGTTCTACTTCCCTTGCTTCCTCTGAAAAATAAACTTGATAGTGACAAATCCAAAACAAGGATACATAAAACAGCGACTGTTTCTGGTTTCAACAAATGAATTAATGTACCCCGAATAAAGGTACCTTCCGGATCATTACATTCAGGTTCCTCCCCTTCATACGCGTAGTAATCTGATCCATCATCTCCCTTCACACAAGTGATCTGATCCGCCCCATGCCATACAAAGTCTTTCTTGTCACACGATAGAGTAACTGTATCACCAAACAGGCCGAAGGATCCCTCTAGAGCGATATTGGGCATGACAGGCAGTGGTGCTTGACAGATCTCTGAAATGTGAACAATTATTGTACAACCAGTCATGATACATTCATTTTTGGGGAACTATATATATATATCTGATATTTAGATATATATTGCTGTGCTGTAAAAATTGACTTTATTTATTTATTTATTTTATTGTCAGGTTGTCTAACTTGGTAGTACATTTCTCTTCTTATTGCTTTTTAGTGTGATTTTTTCCATTCACACCCTTTTGTGAAAAAGGCAATACTGAAAGGTTACGGATAGACGTTTTTGCAGAAAAACGTGGATTTTGGAGATTGCGGTAGGTGGGTCTGAATATGTCGAACTTCCGTCGGTCACACTTTGCCATGGCAACTAGACAACTAGACGTATGCAGCGCGCAAGAGTTGCTTGCGGAGATGTGATGTATGGCCTGCAGTAGTCAGTGTGTGCGCGGCACGAGTGTATTCCAATGTCTTGTGTTAGGCAATAAGCTCAATTTGTATGTGACACGCGTATTGTACTGATATGTACACTTATAAAACATCAGAGTATAGTTCACTTTTTGCTTACAACTTTACAATTTCTTGAATTTTACAGATAAAAGTTAAGTTCTACTGCAATTGAATTGAGTCACAACTATTTCCCCATTTAAAGCATAATGTTCATGTTATGAAGTGAGCTTACTAGAGCTTGTAGTGAATGGAAATCTAGCGTCCGCCACAACGAAACAACGGGCGCAATTCTTGTTCTGCTGGAAACCTACAGATTTGCACTGTGTCAACTCAAAAATCGCACCTGTACGATTTTGGCTGCCTGAACAAGCAGCAGGCGGAGAACCGCTCAAATATCATGTTCCTTACCTTTTACTCTGACCGTATCGTCCTCATCAAGGATGTTAATGTACCGAACCCCCCGCTCAGCATCAACCCAAACCGAATCTCTACACCTCTCATCAGGAGCATCACCAAACTCTATCTCCGCCACCTGAACACCATTACACCTGATCTCCAGACCCTGAACTCCGTGTTTAATAAACCTCCACACCCGCACATTATCCGGAGCTACTGGAACATTAACCATCAGTGAAACATGGTGGCAATCCTCTACGTAGAACGTTGGATCTGTATCCATGACAACGACGACCCTTGCGGAGCTGAGGAGTGGTTTAATGGAGCCAGTCACTTCGAAAGTTATTGTATCGTTACTGCCTAGTTTGGAGACTGTTATCACCTCGAAAGGGATTTCATCCAAACGATATTTGAACCAGGTACCCTTGGGTTGGTCTCTCCATCCAACGGTTAACATTTCTGTAATGTTTTAGTTATGAAAAAGTCTTATCGTGGTATGTTTCAACAATATTTTCTGGTCCTTTAAGGGAGTCAAAAGTATATAATATTCACAATCCCAAAATGTAATGATGCGATGATGTCACAATTAAAAAGATAAGTGGATGAAGCAATGGACATTCAGTTTAGGTAACCATTTTAATATCACAAATAAGGGATATCTATATTTCTCAAAATAACAACTCTACCTTGTCTTATAACGACGGCTATCTCGTTCACAGTGAAATAAGAACCGACCTCCTTCCGTAAGAAGACCATATCTCCGAAAACACACTCGGAGGTTACCGGAATGTTGTCATGATATGCTCCATCAATGCTTACTGCAAGAGAGTAAAACTCACAGGTACCATGAGTACTTTCACAGTTACCACACCCCTCCTGAGAACAGGACCAGGTCTGCCAAGGACGGGTATTGGGGGTAAACTCCTTCCACCAGTGCACTAGCTGAACACAGTAAACTTGGTCCATATTTACCTTAATAAAACGATTATTAATAAAACAGTTATTTATTTTTTTAACAATCGAACAGTATCAATACGAAAGAAATCAGTAGAGGCTTGTGTGACCTGTGCTTGAAACCCTTCAACCACCCATCCAATATACTTATTATACAAATACAAATAAATATTACCTTCAACCAGCTAACTCCGTAAGAGTCTTCTCCAATGACAGCTGCACTCTGCCAGAACATATCAATAGCGTATATTGCGGGGTCGGTTACAGTGGAATCCGTTCCTGATATTTCCGCATTTACTGGTGGTATCTCACTAGGTTGCCTTGCTCTTGTGACTGAAATAATAGCGTCAATATAGAATATAAACATGATATAACATGATATAGTATATTATAAGTTATATGTTATATTATGTTATAATTTATAACACAATGTAACACACAAAATTATACCTAGCTGTTGGTATCCTGAGCTCTTATACATATTTTGTATATTAGCGACAAAAGAAACGCCATTGTCCCTAAAAATATTTCTCAAAATAATAATTCTACCTTCTCCTGATCCGAAAACAGCTATCTCGAAGACAGTGAAATTAGAACCGATCACTTTCCGTAACAAGAGCTCATTCCCTATAACACAACCAGCGACGTTTTCTGAAGAAGTTCCTTCGACAAAAACTGTCAGAGAAAATGAGGGACAAGTTGAGGTATTGGCACTCTCCGTACATACAGAGCATTCGTTTTCAGTGCAGGTCCAGGTCTGGAAAGCTGTCTTATCTGTGTTGTACCAGATAACTTTCTCCACACAAGCAATCTTGTCTAAAGACACCTTCAACCAACTCACTCCGTCAGAATTCTCACCTACGACAAAGATAAAGTTGTTGACAGTCATAAAAATATACAGATAATTTCGATAATGGTAACTGTCTAGCTTTAAAGTTAGACACCCTCAAAAATAACCAAATACAATAAATGTAATAAAATTATAAAACAGTAGAAATTTTAAAAACCAAGGTAGAAAAAAAACATTTTAATAAAAAACCCATTAAATTAATTAAGTTAAAATTAAATAAAGCGGTTTTCACCTACAACTGCAGCACTTGCCCAGAAGAGATCAATAGCGTATTCTGCGTGATTGTTCTCACTATCGGCACCAGTCATTTTTATATTTTCTGGTATGACCTCTCGTTTACCTCTTTTTCTGGTAGCTGAAAATATGATGTGATCATGAATCTTGTGAGGGGGATGGAGGAGGCGTCTTCACCATTTATATTTATTCTCAAAATTGCAGTTTCCGTCATGATAAACAAAAAACATCCGCTTCCTGCACCTTCAGTTTTTTTTTCTCATAGACCTGACTATACCAATTAGAATAGCTATGATTTTTGACTTTATATAAAGAGTTTGGTGTTCTCTTGCATATCTAAATTAATCCTACCTTCTTGTCCGATGATGGCCATCTCGAAGACAGTGAATTCGGAACCGTCCTCTTTTTGCAACAAGAATGTATTTCCAAATACGCAATCAGTAACATCGTGTGGAGCAATAGTTGGGATATTTTCTGGCCTTGGTCCCTCAATGCTGACTGTCAGGGAAAAAGAAGCACAAGCTGAATCACTATCGTCACTATCTCTACATACAGAGCATTCGTTTTCATTTTCAGAGCAGGTCCATGTTTGCCGAGGGATTGTATCAGTGTGGTACCAGATAAGTTGTTCCACACAAGACAGCTGGTCTAGCGATACCTATAATGTATTTGATTATTTAAAAAAAAAATTTATTTGAAAAATGATTAATGTTGGTGAGGAAATATTTATAATATGTAGTGCGATTTTTTCACATAGTACGATGATATTTTGTGATGATATGATGTCATAATTTTAACTTTACTTTACCTTTAACCAGCTTGCACCGTCAGCATTTTCACTTACAACCGCTGCACTAGTCAAGAAAAGATCAATGGCGTATTCTGCGGGGTTGTTGCCACTGGGCTCTGTTCCTGATAGTTCCACATTTCCTGGCATTACCTCATCATCACCTCTTTTTCGCGTAGCTGAAAATATAATGTCATTATGGATCTTGTGAGGGGGATGGACAAGGTGTCTTCGCTAGTCACTCGGTTTCCGTCATGATAGAAAAAACATCTGCTTCCTGCACGTCCAGTTTTTTTTTCAACTAGAATAATTACTATTTTAACTCCCTAAAAGGGTTAAGTGTGCACTTACATATCTAAATTTATTATCAAAATGTTAATTCTACCTTCTTGTCCGATGACAGCTAGCTCGAAGACAGTGAATTCGGAACCGTTCTCTTTTTGCAACAAAAATGTGTTTCCAAATGCGCAATCAGTAACATCGTGCGGAGCAATAGTTGGGATAGTTTTTGGACTAGGTCCCTCAATGCTGACTGTCAGGGAAAAAGAAGCACAAGTTGAATCACTATCGTCACTATCATCACTATCTGTACATACAGAGCATTCGTTTTTATTTTCAGAGCAGGTCCATGTTTGCCGAGGGGTTGTATCAGTGTGGTACCAGATAAGTTGTTCCACACAAGAAAGCTGGTCTAGGGATACCTATAATGTATTTGATTATTTTTATAGAAATATTTTATTTGATAAAATATGATTAATGTTGGTAAAGGAATATTTTTCACATAGCGCGATGATATTTTGTGATGATGTGATGTCATAATGTTTACTTTACTTTACCTTTAACCAGCTTGCACCGTCAGTATTTTCACTTACAACCGCTGCACTAGTCCAGAAAAGATCAATGGCGTATTCTGCAGGGTCGTTGCCACTGGGCTCTGTTCCTGATAGTTCCACATTTCCCGGTACTATCTCACCATCACTTCTTGTTCGGGTAGCTGAAAATATATTGTCATCATGGATCTTTTGAGGGGGATGGACATAAAACAAGGTGTCATCGCCAGTCACTACTCACTCGTTTTCCGTCATGATAGACAAAAACATCTGCTTCTGCACGTCCAGTTTTTTTTTCTCTTAGACCTGATTGTTTCGACAAGAATAGTTACTATTTTAACCCCCGAAAGGGTTAGAGTGCACTTACATAATTTCTAAATATATCAAAATCTTATATTTACCTTCTTCAACTCCGATGACAGCTAGCTCGAAGACAGTGAATTCGGAACCGTCCTCCTTTTGCAACAAAAATGTGTTTCCAAATGCGCAATCAGCAACATCGTGTGGAGCAATAGTTGGGATATTTTCTGGACTAGGTCCCTCAATGCTGACTGTCAGGGAAAAAGAAGCACAAGCTGAATCATTATCGTCACCATCATCACTATCTGTACATACAGAGCATTCGTTTTTATTTTCAGAGCAGGTCCATGTTTGCCGAGGGGTTGTATCAGTGTGGTACCAGATAAGTTGTTCCACACAAGACAGCTGGTCTAGCGATACCTATAATGTATTTGATTATTTTTATAGAAATATTTTATTTGATAAAATATGATTAATGTTGGTAAAGGAATATTTATTATACATAGTGCGATTTTTCACAAAGTGCGATGATATTTTGTGATGATGTGATGTCATAATGTTTACTTTACTTTACCTTTAACCAGCTTGCACCGTCAGTATTTTCACTTACAACCGCTGCACTAGTCCAGAAAAGATCAATGGCGTATTCTGCAGGGTCGTTGCCACTGGGCTCTGTTCCTGATAGTTCCACATTTCCCGGTATTATCTCACCATCACTTCTTGTTCGGGTAGCTAAAATATAATGTCATCATGGATTTTTTGAGGGGGATGGACATAAAACAAGGTGTCATCGTCAGTCACTCGTTTTCCGTCATGATACACAAAAACATCTGCTTCTGCACGTCCAGTTTTTCTCTCTTAGACCTGATTGTTTCGACAAGAATAGTTACTATTTTAACCCCCTAAAGGGTTTGAGTGCACTTACATATCTAAATTTATCAAAATGTTAATTTTACCTTCTTCAACTCCGATGACAGCTAGCTCGAAGACAGTGAATTCGGAACCGTCCTCTTTTTGCAACAAGAATGTGTTTCCAAAAGCACAATCAGTAACATCGTGTGGAGCAATAGTTGGGATATTGTTTGGACTAGGTCCCTCAATGCTGACTGTCAGGGAAAAAGAAGCACAAGCTGAATCACTATCGTCACCATCATCACTATCTGTACATACAGAGCATTCGTTTTTATTTTCAGAGCAGGTCCATGTTTGCCGAGGGGTTGTATCAGTGTGGTACCAGATAAGTTGTTCCACACAAGACAGCTGGTCTAGGGATACCTATAATGTATTTGATTATTTTAAAAAAATATTTTATTTGATAAATGATTAATGTTGGTGAGGAAATATTTATTATACATAGTGCGATTTTTCACATAGTGCGATGATATTTTGTGATGATGTGATGTCATAATGTTTACTTTACTTTACCTTTAACCAGCTTGCACCGTCAGTATTTTCACTTACAACCGCTGCACTAGTCCAGAAAAGATCAATGGCGTATTCTGCAGGGTCGTTGCCACTGGGCTCTGTTCCTGATAGTTCCACATTTCCCGGCATTATCTCACCATCACTTCTTGTTCGGGTAGCTGAAAAGATAATGTCATCATGGATCTTTTGAGGGGGATGGACATTGGACAAGGTGTCAGCGCCAGTCACTCGGTTTCCGTCATGATAGACAAAAACATCTGCTTCCTGCACGTCCAGTTTTTCTCTCTTAGACCTGATTGTTTTGACAAGAATAGTTACTATTTTAACCCCCGAAAGGGTTAGAGTGCACTTACATAATATCTAAATATATCAAAATCTTATATTTACCTTCTTCAACTCCGATGACAGCTAGCTCGAAGACAATGAATTCGGAACCGTCCTCCTTTTGCAACAAAAATGTGTTTCCAAATGCGCAATCAGCAACATCGTGTGGAGCAATAGTTGGGATATTTTCTGGTCTAGGTCCCTCAATGCTGACTGTCAGGGAAAAAGAAGCACAAGCTGAATCACTATCGTCACCATCATCACTATCTGTACATACAGAGCATTCGTTTTTATTTTCAGAGCAGGTCCATGTTTGCCGAGGGGTTGTATCAGTGTGGTACCAGATAAGTTGTTCCACACAAGACAGCTGGTCTAGGGATACCTATAATGTATTTGAATATTTAAAAAAAATATTTTATTTGATAAATGATTAATGTTGGTGAGGAAATATTCATTATACATAGTGCGATTTTCCACATATTGCGATGATATTTTGTGATGATGTGATGTCATAATGTTTACTTTACTTTACCTTTAACCAGCTTGCACCGTCAGTATTTTCACTTACAACCGCTGCACTAGTCCAGAAAAGATCAATGGCGTATTCTGCAGGGTCGTTGCCACTGGGCTCTGTTCCTGATAGTTCCACATTTCCCGGCATTATCTCACCATCACTTCTTGTTCGGGTAGCTGAAAAGATAATGTCATCATGGATTTTTTGAGGGGGATGGACATTGGACAAGGTGTCATCGCCAGTCACTCGGTTTCCGTCATGATAGACAAAAATATCTGCTTCTGCACGTCCAGTTTTTCTCTCTTAGACCTGATTGTTTCGACAAGAATAGTTACTATTTTAACCCCCGAAAGGGTTAGAGTGCACTTACATAATATCTAAATATATCAAAATCTTATATTTACCTTCTTCAACTCCGATGACAGCTAGCTCGAAGACAGTGAATTCGGAACCGTCCTCCTTTTGCAACAAAAATGTGTTTCCAAATGCGCAATCAGCAACATCGTGTGGAGCAATAGTTGGGATATTTTCTGGTCTAGGTCCCTCAATGCTGACTGTCAGGGAAAAAGAAGCACAAGCTGAATCACTATCGTCACCATCATCACTATCTGTACATACAGAGCATTCGTTTTTATTTTCAGAGCAGGTCCATGTTTGCCGAGGGGTTGTATCAGTGTGGTACCAGATAAGTTGTTCCACACAAGACAGCTGGTCTAGGGATACCTATAATGTATTTGATTATTTTAAAAAAATATTGTATTTGATAAAATATGATTAATGTTGGTAAAGGAATATTTTTCACATAGTGCGATGATATTTTGTGATGATGTGATGTCATAATTTTGACTTTACTTTACCTTTAACCAGCTTGCTCCGTCAGTATTTCCACTTACAACCGCTGCACTAGTCCAGAAAAGATCAATGGCGTATTCTGCAGGGTCGTTGCCACTGGGCTCTGTTCCTGATGGTTTTACATTTCCCGGCATTATCTCACCATCACTTCTTGTTCGCGTAGCTGAAAATATAATGTCATCATGGATCTTTTGAGGGGGATTGACATTGGACAAGGTGTCATCGCCAGTCACTCGGTTTCCGTCATGATAGACAAAAACATCTGCTTCTGCACGTCCAGCTTTTCTCTCTTAGACCTGATTGTTTCTACAAGATTAGTTACTATTTTAACCCCCGAAAGGGTTAGAGTGCACTTACATACTTTCTAAATATATCAAAATCTTATATTTACCTTCTTCAACTCCGATGACAGCTAGCTCGAAGACAGTGAATTCGGAACCGTCCTCCTTTTGCAACAAAAATATGTTTCCAAATGCGCAATCAGCAACATCGTGTGGAGCAATAGTTGGGATAGTTTTTGAACTAGGTCCCTCAATGCTGACTGTCAGGGAAAAAGAAGCACAAGCTGAATCACTATCGTCACCATCATCACTATCTGTACATACAGAGCATTCGTTTTTATTTTCAGAGCAGGTCCATGTTTGCCGAGGGGTTGTATCAGTGTGGTACCAGATAAGTTGTTCCACACAAGAAAGCTGGTCTAGGGATACCTATAATGTATTTGATTATTTTTTAAAAATCTTTTAATTGATAAATGATTAATGTTGTTATTGTTGGTGGGGAAATATTTATAATATATATAGTTCCATTTTTTTACATAGTGCGATGATATTTTTTGATGATGTAATGTCACAATTTGTACTTTACCTTTAACCAGCTTGCACCGTCAGTATTTTCACTTACAACCGCTGCACTAGTCCAGAAAAGATCAATGGCGTATTCTGCAGGGTCGTTGCCACTGGGCTCTGTTCCTGATAGTTCCACATTTCCTGGCATTATCTCACCATCACTTCTGCTTCGGGTAGCTGAAAATTTGATGTGATCATGAATCTTGTGAGGGGGATGGAGGAGGCGTCTTCACCATTTCAATTTATTCTCAAAATTGCAGTTTCCGTTATGATAAACAAAAAACATCCGGTTCCTGCACCTCAAGTTTTTTTCTTATCGACCTGACTATATCAACTAGAAAAGCTACGATTTTTGACTCGCTTGCATATCTAAATTTATCAAAATTATAGTTCTACCTTTTTGTCCAATGATGGCCATCTCGATGACAGTGAATTCTAAACCGTCCTCTTTTTGCAACAAAAATGTGTTTCCAAATACGCAATCAGCAACATCGTGTGGAGCAATAGTTGGGATATTGTTTGGTCTAGGTCCCTCAATGCTGACTGTCAGGGAAAAAGAAGCACAAGTTGAATCACCATCATCACTATCTGTACATACAGAACATTCGTTTTTATTTTCAGAGCAGGTCCATGTTTGCCGAGGGGTTGTATCAGTGTGGTACCAGATAAGTTGTTCCACACAAGACAGCTGGTCTAGCGATACCTATAATGTATTTGATTATTTTTATAGAAATATTTTATTTGATAAAATATTATTAATGTTGGTTAAGGAATATTTTTCACATAGTGCGATGATATTTTGTGATGATGTGATGTCATAATTTTTACTTTACTTTACCTTTAACCAGCTTGCACCGTCAGTATTTTCACTTACAACCGCTGCACTAGTCCAGAAAAGATCAATGGCGTATTCTGCAGGGTCGTTGCCACTGGGCTCTGTTCCTGATAGTTCCACATTTCCTGGCATTATTTCACCATCACTTCTTGTTCGGGTAGCTGAAAATATAATGTCATCATGGATCTTTTGAGGGGGATGGACATAAAACAAGGTGTCAGCGCTAGTCACTCGGTTTCCGTCATGATAAACAAAAACATCTGCTTCCTGCACGTCCAATTTTTTCCTCATAGACCTGCCTATATCAATTAGAATAGCTACGATTTTTGATTAATAAAGAGTTTGATATTCGCTTGCATATCTAAATTTATCAAAATCATAGTTCTACCTTCTTGTCCAATGATGGCCATCTCGAAGACAGTGAATTCAGAACCGTCTTGATGTTGTAACAAAAATGTGTTTCCAAATACGCAATCAGCAACATCGTGTGGAGCAATAGTTGGGATATTTTCTGGTCTAGGTCCCTCAATGCTGACTGTCAGGGAAAAAGAAGCACAAGCTGATTCACTATCGTCACCATCATCACTATCTGTACATACAGAGCATTCGTTTTCACTTTCAGAGCAGGTCCATGTTTGCCGAGGGGTTGTATCAGTGTGGTACCAGATAATTTGTTCCACACAAGAAAGCTGGTCTAGGGATACCTACAATGTATTTGATTATTTTTTTAATACATTGTTCTTGATAAATGATTAATGTTGATGAGGGAATATTTATTATACATAGTGCGATTTTTTCACATAGTGCGATTATATTTTGTAATGATGTGATGTCATAATGTCTACTTTACTTTACCTTTAACCAGCTTGCACCGTCAGTATTTTCACTTATCACCGCCTCAGTTTGCCAGTCTAGATCAATAGCATCTGTTGCGGGGTCGTCTTCATTCTCTGTCCCGGATACTTTAGCACTATCTGGTATTAGCTCATTGTCATTTCTGTCCCGGAAATTGCCAGCGCAGTTCACTGTTCTGAAATAATGGGGAAATCATAAAGCTTTTACAAGCCGTTTGTACTGCAAGTATCCTACTCCCTAGTAACACCCTAGTAACACCCGTGTAACACTCAAAGTAACACCCTAGTAACTACTCACCCCAGAATCAACAGGATCGTCACTTCAAACAGCATGATCTAATCCTACCGCCGACTGTACTTGTAGTTGTAACTTTCAAAATTTGTTCAATCTAACGAAAACTATTATGTGAACGAAACTTCAAAACAAGTATGAAAAGTGAGGGAGCTCTGAGTAATAGTAAAGATAGACAGGTGTAGCACGTGATCATGCTGTATACATACACTAACAACAATTTATCTTTTATTGTGTAAAGTGCCGCATTACAAATATAACTGTATGAATGCTTCTATCTCGTAGCCTGTAAGGTCCATTTATAAAATGAGATTAATCGAAATTTATGATTTGAATTTCGCTGCAGATCAGATCATCTTTAAAGTATAAAGATATGTAAAGATATGCTTGCTCTGAAGTATATAAGACATCTTACCCGGTAATAACGCCTTTATGAAGGAAACCTATTTCTTTCCTGTAAAAAATATTTATGTTCACATTTAAGTTCCCCTGCTGCTGAAATCCTCTCAGAATTACTGCCTAATCACGCAGATTTACATTTTACAAGTTGACTTGTGGGCAGAGTATAGATGGTATACAGAATATGGAGGGTATACAGAGTATGGAGGGTATACAGAGTATGGAGGGTATACAGAGTATACAGCCTCTCATACAGGGTGTTTCAAAAGTCTTGTTAGGATGTATTTTACGAACAACCTTTTATCCATTCGTCTAAACTTCATTCTGTACAAATTTATTGGTAATTCTAAGGTTTAATGGTGAATTCTGAACGTTTTTTAAGTTGCTATGACCGGACCAGCATAGCAACCACAATCAGCCCCCTAGCAATCGAGGTAAATTTGAGTAATTTTTTCTTTTATCGACCAAATGAAAGACCAATAACACCCTGTATTGACCCCACCTGGAGCTTTCTATCATCTTTCCGCCTCTACCGCCTTATCCTGTGGGACACATCCTGAGATTCTAAGATCCTAAAATATTGTACCACATAATTATACATGTCTTGCAATAAAACAGTGTGTACATACGTTTAGTCTTATAACAAAGCCATGTGTACTGACTTTTGCCCCTCCTCCCCTCCACATGCCCTGCAATAAGTTATCCGAATTAATCCCCGCAATTCCCCTTATCAGGCGGCATTAATTGTCACGTGACTGAACACGTGACTAATCCACCACGTGTTTATTATAATATTCAGCTGGATTATAATAATAATATGCTGAGTGGTACAACATCTCCACCATACCATATAAGGCAGCGCAACCATGGTAACATGACCATATATAGCAATATAACCCCACTAACAACACCTTATATGGATGCCACATGTGTTGTTAGCTAGCTCATAATGCTGAGTGGATGGAATACGGGGCTGTGTGTTAAGGGGCCGTGGAGCAGTCCTCTCTAAATCCAGCTAATGTATTGCTATTAATAAAGTTGTTATTTCTCACCGCGTATTTTGTGCTTTCATTCCTTGGATTTTGTATAATATATAGTTTTGATTTTCAGTATCTTGTACACCTGGGCCTGGAAGAAAGAGCAACGGTTGGGACTGATTTGTTGGTAATCAGTCATCAGTCACAGCGTGTGGTAACATATAGTGCACTAGATACTAAAATAAGAAACATCATCGTGAGCTTTGTGTGTTGCCACTACTACCAGTGGTTGTAGATATAAGTTAACCACCTTTCTTTGCTGTAATTGTTCTTCTAGTTGGGAGTTGTCAGTGAACACATATAGTTCTAATGTACCGTCACAATAGTGACTTTAATATATCTTTCCAAGTAAAAGTGATTAAAATATGCTATTTTTGTAACAATCTTCAATCAATGACATCTTCGAACATTTCACAAGTTGCCATTTACACTTCTTTTGTTTTCTATCGCCATTAAATTTAACTCCCTCCACACCGCTCTAATGACAGCTGCTTCAGACAGCGGTTAATCACGTTAATCTGCTTTAGAGAGTGGTCACTTTTACAAGAATGACACAATGTTGGCCACCACAGCACCATTACTACCACCACACTTCACCTCTCACCGCCACGTTATTCCAACAATACTCCTGCCCGCACTTCTTAAGCCTGTGTCTCTGGTGACAGCTTCACACGTGCACGCCGAGTGCACGCCGAGTGCAGCACACCGAGTGTTGGCGAGTGTTGGCGAGTGCTGTTTATCAGTGTTTCATTTATTGAACACCCAATTTAACGCGTTTTACGTCTTTTGATCTGCCAAGTCAAATATTGCCTCAAAATAAAAGTATCATCAAGCCCGAGGGAAATAGCGTCTTATCAACTGGTGACAGTTTCACAAGTGCATGTCGAGTGAGCACTCGGCACAAACAGCACTGTTTACCGGTGTTTCATGTGAGAATCAGTGATTCACTAACAAGTTGCATGACGTGGCTTGTTAAACCACCGTTAGGAGCCGGGCTGTGTTCTATTGGTGTGACGAGGAGGCTGAGGTCACGCGACTATGACGTCACCAGATGTTGAGTAGTGTTTTTTGTTTTCGTTAAATTTAATTGTTGTTTTTTTGATATTTATCCCGTTACGTAATCATCATCCGATTAAAACAATGTTATAACACCCATTTAACTCAGAATTTTGAGGATGATTCTGCAGCAGATGTGATATTTTATATCCCTGCATGATGCTGACTAAGAGGAGTTGGGTCTTTAATAAGGATTCACGTTCTCGGTACGGATTAAGTCTTTTTAAAATGAAAACTACCAATACCGGACAAACTTTAATTAATTAATTCCGAACTTCTAAGTCTGGAGTCTGGAGTCTGACCAACAGCTCCAGATTGCTGCCTGTACACCCACCCTGACCCTGCTCTAGATTACTGCTTAGGAGGACAGAGAGCGCCACCTTGTACACATCACACAGACTACACTATTGCTTGCTAGTACTGGCTTTTTATACTACTTGTGTTGTTGTATGTCTGGCTCACTCCTCCTGTACTTCATAGACAGTGTCAGTAGATGTAGAGAGGGTCACGTGACGCGTCACATGGGTTAGATAAGGTCGGATAAACTCGGGAATAAGGCACCTGATCATTTAATGGAGTTCGGCCCTGTTTAACATTTGATTAACTTGGATTGAAGGGAAGATCCGCACGTTGATCTGAAAACAGTTTGAGTATTTGATTGTCGCAATCGTATAGAGCTATCACATGTTGTGCAGAGAATGGTGTTCTGTCTCCAATGCTGTACGATTATTTCTAGGCAGTCATATCCTCGATCAATCCACGGGAGAAAATGCTCATTTGCGCCGAACAATCTATAAATTTGTTGATAAGTTGATATTAATTTGAAAATATAGTTTAGATGTGACATTTGATATAAATAAAGCTCTATTACGTTGATACAATATTCGTGCAAGCTGTTAAAATATGATGAGATTTCTTGTAATATAATGTTGTCACTTTTCAGTCCGAGCCATAACAAATAACATTTAAAGAACAAGCTGTTCTATTACTACACTATTCGAGCTTTTTATTGAGAATTAAAACAAGTCCTTCATATTATGGAGCCAGGGTGTGGACTGGCTGCACCTGGTTAAAGCACTTCCATCCCATTACATAATACTCGATAAATGTAATAGATTTGTAATGTTGTAATTAGTTTAAAGCTATGTTATTTTGTTTTTGATGGTATTAATCGCCTAGGTTTCAGGTTGTGATTATTTTATGATCCTGAGTTGTAACAAAAAAAAATGTAACGTCAAAATTACGGTCATTATTTCGATTGATAGTTCAGTTTGGAGTGTATAATTTGGGGCTGAGCCGGCTGACCTGGGGATGTAAATATCCTAAACCACGTGCTTTCCTTCAAGTAACAGTAAATCATGTGAAGGAGCTATTATATCACTGTACTTGCGTCACAATCACTACAAAGTACAAGTCCCATCGCCTCCGTGCTTGTAGTTCATATTCCAGCACTGGTCGCTCGAAATGTTTCCTCATGGTATCGCCGGCGTTAGTCCAGGCTGTAAGTCCGCTTATATAATATATATATATATATTACTTAGATTAACTAAGAACATTAACTTACTTAGATTAACTAAGAACATTAACTTACTTAGATTAACTAAGAACATTAACTTACTTAGATTAACTAAGAACATTAACTTATAACATTTCTTTGTGTTTTGATTTAGCTGTTTGAAGGATTACTTGTGTTTTTGTATTCCCGGTAGGCCTGTCTTGAGTACTCGTTTCTATTTTTCTTGTGTTTCAGTTGAAGGAGTTGGAGGACGAGTGGTCTAAGGTAGATAAGGGGACCCCTGAGAGGTACACCAGGTCTCAACAAGCCAAGATGGAGGAAGAAGAGGACGAGGAGGAAGAAGAGACAGATGGAGGTAATCTGTCTGTGTGTCTGTCTGTGTGTCTGTCTGTGTGTCTGTGTGTCTGTGTGTCTGTGTGTCTGTGTGTCTGTCTGTGTCTGTGTCTGTGTCTGTGTCTGTGTCTGTGTCTGTGTCTGTGTCTGTGTGTCTGTCTGTGTGTCTGTGTGTCTGTCTGTGTGTCTGTGTGTCTGTGTGTCTGTGTGTCTGTGTGTCTGTGTGTCTGTGTGTCTGTCTGTGTGTCTGTGTGTCTGTGTGTCTGTGTGTCTGTGTGTCTGTGTGTCTGTCTGTGTGTCTGTGTATCTGTGTGTCTGTCTGTCTGTCTGTCTGTCTGTCTGTCTGTCTGTCTGTCTGTCTGTCTGTCTGTCTGTCTGTCTGTCTGTCTGTCTGTCTGTCTGTCTGTCTGTCTGTCTGTCTGTCTGTATTTGTATGTTTGTATGTTTGTATGTTTGTATGTTTGTATGTTTGTATGTTTGTATGTTTGTATGTTTGTATGTTTGTATGTTTGTATGTTTGTATGTTTGTTTGTTTGTTTATTGTTTAAACTATTCCCCACATAGGAGATGGTGGAGGTGGTGGTGGAGGTGGTGGCGGTGAAGAAGCAGAGCCTGAAGAAGATATGGATCCCTACGACTTAGCAGATCCAGTAGACATTCTCGAAAAACTCAACAAAGCGTGCGGTGACTTCCAAAACATGCTGGTTCGTCGTTTTTAGCCTGTTCATCAGATTATTACCTATAAATTTATGCAAATATAATGAAAATGTACAGCTAAACTGCAGAAAAGTGGATCACAATCATTTCATTATTTGTCGTCTATCCGAATGTGTTTTAATGTTTAAATCGAAGGCCTGTTATATCGCTTTGTCTTCGTTGTATGACACTCTTTATGCCATCATTACAGGTCGATAAGAGTTGGAAGATAAGAAAAGAAGCACTGGACCATTTAGTTCCACTCGCTACGGGGACAATCAAAATACAGCCCAGCAGTGAGCAATATTGAGAGTTTTTTTGTTAAAAAGTGAATTTAATTAAGCTTACCAATCCCTTTTATTAATCAAGAAAATCTTCAAAGAATTTGAACTTACCGATCATACCATAGCGAACTTAACGTGCCATTTTCCGACCAATAATGACGCACTATTTCCCCCACGTGCCATTTTCTGACCAATAAGAACGCACTATTTCCCACAGGTGATTTTGGTGCGATAGTAACGCCACTCTGTAAGATAATATCTAAAGACGCTAATATTGTGGTGGTGCAGCTGGCTGTGAAGAGTTTAGGGGGCATCGCTAAAGGACTCAGAAAAGGTTGAAATCATTGTTTAATGTTTATTACAGATCCCAATTGATTGACAGTTTCCTAAACATTTCCTGATATTGCTTTGTTTTGATTTTATGTTAAAGTAGAGATATATTGATGGGCAACCCCGTTTAACTTTTTAAATTGCTTTGTCTGTTTTTCTTTTGGCTATTTTATTTAAGTAACTTACAGTTACAGTTTGAAGTTTCTTCTCCTAACTAGTAGTTGAAACACGGTCACGAAGGTTATTTACAAACAATAACTCTCAGGATATAGTAGTAACGCTAAAGAGACTGTTATAGCTTGTTTATCAAAGTACAAAGAGAAGAAAGCCAATGTTGTAGCAGTACTGAGTGATTGTATTGATGCGTCTGTAGATACTGTGAGTAAAAGAAATGAGATAATTTTTTAATTCATTTAATTTGAAAATGCTAATATTGAGTAAGCTATATATTTAATATTTAGTATTTAATATTTAGTATTTAATATTTAATATTTAATATTTAATATTTAATATTTAATATTTAATATTTAATATTTAATATTTAATATTTAATATTTAATATTTAATATTTAATATTTAATATTTAATATTTAATATTTAATATTTAATATTTAATATTTAATATTTAATATTTAATATTTAATATTTAATATTTAATATTTAATATTTAATATTTAATATTTAATATTTAATATTTAATATTCCACAGGTTCCGTTGAGTGCGGTAGTAGAACATGTTGTAGCATCACTTGCTGATAAGAACCCAGCAGTCAGGCAGGAAACTGCCAACTTCTGCGTCCGACTCTTCCAGAGGTCCAAAGCTAACAACCTTCCTAAGTCGGTTATGAAGGCTCTATGTCCTGCCCTCAAAGCTGTGAGATATTTATTCTGTTTTCTTTCGTTATAAGATATCAATACTTCAAGGTTTGGAGCCAAATAAATATAAATCTGTATTTAAACGAGTATTTTGTCCACATTGTTATTATACAGTACTGGTGCACACCCAAAATTTAACAATATTCCACTTATTACTTAATATAATACTAATATCCATCAGTAGTTGCTGCTAGGTATTAACCTAAAAGGCAGCAGTGCTATTGAGTGTTGAGGTCTAATAAATAATAATATTTCCATTTGTTCCAGCTACTAGACGACACTGTGGGATCAGTACGTGACGCTGGTGCGGGAGTTCTGGGTACAGCAACTAAAGTTGTGGGGGAGAAGTTTATGTCAGAGTACATCAATGATTTAGATAATATCAAAAAACAAAAGGTATTTTATTGTAATAGTTGTCGTGTCACGTGTTCATAGTCACGTGTTCATAGTCACGTGTTCGTAGTCACGTAACTAAGCCACAACTATGATGATATCACGGGCGACATCTGTCCGACAGCGACATCTGTCCGACTCAGAAAATACTAGGTTATTCGGACAATAGTTTATGTCGGATCCTACCGTACGATTTTCTTGAAACTTTTCATAAAGTATGGTGGTTATAGGACAGATAATCTGTGTAAGTTTGAGCGAGTTTCTATACGTGCCAAATTTGAGATATCACCTTAAACACAAAAAATATCTCCAATTCGGTGGTTTGCAGTGGTTCCAAGGCATATATCTGGAGATCCAACGATATGATTTTCCTGAAACTTTCTAGATAGTAAGATAGCTTTAAGACAAATAATTTGTGCAAGTTTGGGTGAATTTCTATGTGCCAAATTTGAGATATCACTTCAAACACAAGAAAATAGTGTTGTCGGACAGATGTCGTGTTACCGTAAAACACATGTTTACCATATATATTGTATAATGTATAATGTATATTGTATAATAACAATCACAGACGTTACTTAACCTATGTTATAATTAAACTCCTAATTCTACACCGACTCCACGTATGATGAGAAAATATGGTACTTTGCCCAGTCTTCAGGAGAGTTTAACCAACAGAGGAACTGATCATACATTATTTGTAGACTCCACATAATCCCCCATTTCCCAAAACCTTGTACTTAAACGACCAATTCCAGGCGGTTACAGGCTGCCACTTAACCGACTAATTGGTCATTACTTTTACCAGGACACCCAGTAAAGCGTCATCAGACATACAGCTTTTCCGGAAATCAGTTTTTACATAAACTTAATTCTCTCTCGGCTTCTGGAGAGTTATCAGAGCTTCGGAAAGTAACCGTTACATTTCGTTAAACTTGTCTTGCTTTCTTTCGTCTATCGTGCCCGGTTTGTTTTTCTGGGATGGATGCCATTGGATCTCGAGGACCGGAGGGCCCATGTCGGAGGTACACCTACATGGGCAGAAGTAGGAGACCACCGCCCTCACAGGTCAGTGTTAGTAACATTGTTATTGGTGTTACTAACACTGTCAGTTCCTGTGCGAGTGGTACTCCGACTAGTACTTTTGTCGCAAGTTCTAAAACAAAGGAAGACTGTTTGGTAACTGATGATAAAGTTGACGATAGAAACGTAGATGAAGGAAGATATAGCAATGTACAAGACAGTTCACCGGACACTATCGTCGATAAGGAGATGATGGACGTGCACGTCTGGGAAGACACCACTCAGAACGACCTAGCCAATGAAAACACAGCGCTCAAACCACGTGACACAAACCCACCAATCAGAGCACAGGACGACCCGAGATGTCCTCACTTAACAAAAACAGAGTGTGTTGTTCTTGAGGAGGAGGAGGAGGGAGGTTTGGAGGAAGAGGGAGGTTCGGAGGAGGATGACAGTGGAGGGGACTCTAGCTCCTGGATGACACAGTATATAGCTCATAATGGTCCTCTTGGGAACGAGAAAAAAGGTGAGGGTTTCATCTTAATTGTTTTATACGAAACTACTTAGAGTAGTCTAGACTAGCTTACTCTGAACAAATTGCTTAATACTAATAGATAGCCTCGCACAAGATTATTCTCAATTTTCTTGTTGTGTTCCACAACTATAAGTGAGCCCCAGTTCATTTTCCAGTTTAATTTTTTGTTATGATAATGTCATCACTAGAGATAGGCTAAGTCCACTGGTAACCTCAGGCTGGTGGAAGGTGGGACACGTTGTGGCCAGATTTCAGAGGGTTGCAGAAAGGAAGAATATCAAACAAGCCCCTTCTGTCAAGAAGTCACCAAAGCCATCTCACTCTAAAGAAACTGTAGCTATCGACCAAGTAATCCTGCCTCCCAATGAACGGATTAAGGTTCCAGTTCCGCAGTCTTTGATAGAATATGTCGGGTTGGAAGGGTTGGGGGAGTTGAACCCTGAACTGGATGATCAAAGTCAATCCAGTGAGACTCTAACTAGCATTGATGATGGTAGATTAATCGCTCCTATTGAAACCCATGATATCGAAAAAGAGGATCAAGTCGAAAATTCGTACCACATTCAATTGGAGAAAGATGAAGCAGTCACTGAAGTTAAATACGAATTGGAAACTCGACAATATAACCCTCCTATTGATACAACTGTGGGAGACCATCTTTATTCGAAGATCAGAACATTGGAGAACAATTCCCCCTCTGATCTACTGGAATGTGCCCTCTATCTTCCTTTGCGGGAAGGTTTGTCCTGACTATATTGAAGAAACGTCTTGCTAATGTCCATGTTTTATGCAGTTATGTTTTTGCAAATCATTTTTCCTGCTAACTCAGCACTATTTCCTGGGTATCAAAGATCAATAACGAGTTTCTAACTTTCCTCCATGCTAAGTAAGAATCCTATTCAAACATTTCTCTGTTCAATAGATTTTAACTTTTTGTCATTCATGAACATTTCTTACAAGAATCCATTCATCGCATCTTCCTTAGAATATTTTAGTTAAATTTCTTTTATTCTTGTAATTTACAGTCCACAGTTTCGTTAAGTTCCTCATTCCTCACCCTTCATCATGATCCTGCGACTGTGGTGGCTGCATTAGACCCACTGGAGTATAAAGATATTATTTACTTAACTGGCATAATCTAGCTCCTAATATATTTTCTAATGATAAGCATTTTGTGTGCTGTGTGTTCTAGCTCTATAGCTTGTATCCCAGGTTACGGATGTGATGGAGAAGGCTGAAGTCAAATACCCTTACGGGTCGGCAGGTCCTGCTAAGAAGGCTGCTCCCGCTGCTAAAGCACCTGCTAAAGAGAAAGCAGCCTCAAAATCAGAGGCACCCAAGAAAGAGCCAGCCAAGAAATCTGCAGCTAAAAAGCCCGCTAAGAAGGGTACTGTGTTTGGCTGAATCTGTATTTTACCCAATTTTCCTACATTCTAACGGTTTCTTAGCTCAATTGTAAAGCATTAAATAATTAAGATTACTTTAACTGAGGGAAGACAAAGAGGTGTGGAAGTTTTGAATAATCAGTGAAGTTAGTCACGTGTTAGTCACGTGGGGGGGGGGGGGTACCAATGGCATAAATGGCATAATGGAGAATTGGCCAAACAAAATTTCCATTTATGCCATGAAATTTCTATGCCATTTGATGAATTTTATGCCATTCTTCTCCATTCTATGCCATTCGAAATATGAAATTTTAAAACTTTGAACTGAGAATTTAATTTAACGAATTGTCTGCACCCCATGCCACTAGTACTTTTTATTGTACTACAACATCTATTTTCACCCATTAAATTCCTCAAAATATCCCTAGCAATGGGCATTATTGATTATAATTACGTTCAATGTATATCAATATGATATGATGATTTGGTTGATTGTGGACAAGTGACCGGGCAGTATGGCATAGTACACGCTACACACCGTATAACAGAGAGGACAGTCGACTGAATGCTCCCAGTCAATCGGATATCCAAATTAACAGTGGAAAACTGTAACATTACCAACTCGATGTGTACAGATGTATCGTGTCGGGACCGTGTTCACGTAGAATGTTTTGAAATTTAAACATTTTCACAAGATTGATAATGATCTGTGTTTCGAATGGGTAGCCTCTTAAAAATAATATTCATTGATATCTCGATGAACCTGTATATTAGTATTACATAACAGTTCACCAAATGACCTGAAATACTTGCTTCCTATTATACAAAATGATGATGACATAATATATTGCTTAAATATCTTCATATTCACTGCTGCATGGCAACATAGCACTCCTTAATTAGTTTTCTATAATAACGTTAATCTAGTATAATCATTGTAGGATTTTGAACATCTCACAATTTGGGCTGTAGGACTGTAGAGCGGGGGACTGTAGGGCGTACTTGGCCAAAAGTAGGACCCTAGAGCGGAGTCAAATCGCCAGGGTAGGACTCTAGAGCGGAACTCCCTTACGGAAACCATACTATGAGGACTCTAGAGCGGTACCCACATGTAAATTTTGGAGCGGTTAGAAATTGGAGATCGGACTGTAGAGTGGACTTGGTCGGAAGATTGAAATCAGATTAGATACAACTCGTGATTGATTATTATAATAGTGAGATTAGAATAATTCATGGAGTTGTTGAAGCAGAAAATTGTCCTAGATTATTTATATTATACATCATATAATCATATTGTAATTTTTAGATACGTTAGACAATTGTTCGGTATAAACTTCTTCCATTTGACTGAAATATCCTGATGTTACTCTAAAATGCAAAAAGATTCTTTGATAAAGAGGTATAATTATGAACTGGTCGATGTGATTTCGCTAAGCGAAATACCGACCAAGACGTGCACTCAAGCAGATCATTTATGAATGAGGATCTCATCGCGTGACACTTTAGCACCTACTAAGGGTATCTCATGTTCAGTCTAGTGACAGGGGGGGGGGGTCCAAGGGGAACTTTGGGGAACTTTGGGAAAGTCCCCCAAGATTTCTGAAGTTCCCCAAAAAAAAGTTCCCCAAAACTCCCCAAAGTTCCCCAAAATTATTCAAAATTATTTAAAATTATTCAAAATTATTCAAAATTATTCAAAATTATTCAAAATTTCTCTAATATACATTAATACCCATTAATGTTAACATGTATGTTATTATAAGGTATAATCTTAACTTACTTGTTGATACTTGCAGCATGATAATTTGTTTGGCATTAAAAATTTTTTGGGGAACTTTGGGGAATTTTGGGGAACTTTCTGAAGTTCCCCAAAAAAAAGTTCCCCAAAATTCCCCAAAATTATTTGTTTCATTGATAATTTTTTGGGGAACTTTGGGAAAGTCCCCCAGGTTTCCTGAAGTCCCCCAAAAAAAAGTTCCCCAAAACTCCCCAAAGTTCCCCTTGGACCCACCCCCCCAGTGACAGGGTATGTTCCAGATCAGATCCCATCGCATAGCGGTTCTTGTTAGTGATTTCGATAGTGCAGTACAAATGTCACAGAGAATTTAGTTTAGTTTATCACATTCGATTCCTACTCCTCTTTACAACTATCTACAATATGCTGAGTAACAGTTATTACTTAACTCTTCCTGAGAAGGCCGTCTTCATCCGGGGACGAACAGCTGAGATGGGTACGGGAGAACGGACTGAAGAAGGACTACGACGAAGGAATTAACGACCCCCTTACCAATTCCTGGACTTCAGGTCCTGTCTAGGAGCTCCTAGATCTTATACCCTCCCACCTTGGCCTCGACGACTTCCTTAACTACTTCATGACAAATTGGGTACAGGGAGTTTCCACCGCTCGTAGCACCAAAGCTGCCCGCTTTCCTCCGCAATCCTGGAACCTCGTCGACCAGACTACCTGCAACTTCAACAAGACAAACAACCACGCAGAGGTCTTTAACAGAAAGTTTGCAGCAATGTTGGGACACTCTTACCCAACTATCTGGACCTTTCTTCAAGCCGTCTACATAGAACAGTCCACTACAGATGAGATGATGCTCAAGGAGAGCTGTTACGGGGATGCTCCTCCTGCAAAACGAGCCCGTCAGCGTACCAAGGACAGCCGACTGGCACATTTAGTAAAAGTCTACGACGATCATGACATTGTCTCACTCTCCCACCCTGACATGTTGAGGAACGTGATGGTCGAGGAGCTGAGTGAACTATTTCCAGATATTTGATTCGCAGTATTAATGTATAATAAGTTGTATCAATTCTATCATCATTATGTGACGACTATTATTAATCATTGATTAAAAAACAAAGCTCAATCAAAACTAACTTTACTCTCAAATTTCTAACCGCTCTAAAATTTGCATGTGTGATGTGGGTACCGCTCTTCATAGTATGGGTCCGGTAAGGGAGTTCCGCTCTAGAGTCCTACCCTGGCGATTTGACTCCGCTCTAGGATCCTCATAGTATGGGTCCGGTAAGGGGGTTCCACTCTAGAGTCCTACCCTGGCGATTTGACTCCGCTCTAGGGTCCTACTTTCGAATTTGCTTTTCTTGAATAGTCAAATGTTTGGTATATGTTTGATATAATACATTTCTATTTTCTTTATTTGTTATATGAATCTTTAAAGATCATTCCAAGCGTTTTAAAGCATGAAACATGTCTCTTATTCAAGTACTAATAATAATTTGTGAATTTAAATTCATCCTAAAGGTCAAATATGAAGACCTAAATTCATGGCATAAATTGGCATAAATGGAGAATTGGCCAAACAAAATTTCCATTTATGCCATAAAATTTCTATGCCATTTGATGAATTTTATGCCATTTGTCTCCATTCTATGCCATTGGTACCCCCCCGTCACGTGTTAGTGAACGTTTAAGTCACGTGTAAGTCACGTGTTAGTGATGTACTGGATAATTAACTTTATATCCCGTAGGAGCTGGTAAGAAAGCTGCTCCTGCTGCTAAGAAGGAGAACAAACAGAAACAGAAAGACAGCGAGGAAATCACTGAGGCGGAGATGACAGAGGAGCAGGTTGACGAGGCTGTGGAGTCCTTGTTGGACGCTGAAATCATTGCAGGTGGGAATCGCAGTTTTCATATTATGATGGTCCAGAATTAATGCACTGTTACTGGATAATTTTTAGAAGTTTTTCGTTTAAAAATGGCGTGTCTTAAAAAAGTATCGTTTTTAAAACTTTGTAACGTCAGTCCGCCAGTAACTAAGCAATGATAAGCACTGCCAACTCTTAACTGAAATGAAATTTTATTCATCGTGTTTGTTCAGTTTGATCTCAAGCTATTCTGTGACAACTGTTTTTAACTCTGATCATGTTAAATTCAGGTTTGACTGACGCTAACTGGAAGGTTCGACTTGAAGCTGTTCAAAACTTTTCCGCAAAAGTGGAAGGTTTTGAGAAGAATGTCAACGTACAAGCGCTTATCCAAATTCTTGGCAGAAAGCCAGGCTGGAAGGACAACAATGCTCAGGTTTCTTTCTTAAAGTTTTACTTTTCTAATTATGTCCGGGTATATCTAAGGGTCTAAATTTAAGGGTTCCATCATGTTAACTGAACCAATCAATATTCAATTGTGATTCCAAAGTTTCTAATCCGAGAGTTTTTAATAGAATTTAATATATGCTATTTTTATAACCAATAAATTTTAAGCCAGTATTGAACTGCTCCACTCTCCAGTGACCATTTGTTGAAAGATCTTTTAAAACACCGTCTCAGGTATTGAACGAAAAGTTTGGTATCTGTGAGAAGCTCACTCACAAGGGAGACGCTTTCACTAAACGTGGTGCTAACTACGCTTTAGAAGGTATAGTAGACCTTTGAATCATTTGCAATCATTTGCTGTTATTGATTCAAGGATTTGGCCCATACACGTTCTATGAAAGGAAATTCCTTGTTCCTTCTTTAAAGGATATTTTACACAAAATTATAAAGGATGTTTTATAATGTTATGTTTTATATTATTATCACATATTATATCATGTATATTATTATATAATTATGTTTTATATAGTTTGCAAGGCCAGTTTTACACTCTTTCACTTACATCACTTTCTGAAACCTTAAAAGCTTCAACTTGTGCATGTAACTTAACATAACTAATTTTCAATCAGGGCTTGTTGAGAAAATAGGAGACATAAAGATGAACAGACAAGTTACAGCAACCCTCCTCGCTATAGCGGATGTTATCTCACTAAACTTCACTAGTGCTAACGCTTGTGGGTACGCTGAGAAAGCAAAGAGTCCTAAAGTTCATACTGAGGTGAGGCCTAACTAGAACTCTAAAGTAGAGCTCTAAAGTAGAACTCTAAATTAGAACTCTAAAGTAGAACTCTAAAGTAGGACTCTAAAGTAGAGCTCTAAAGTAGAACTCTAAAGTAGGACTCTAATGTAGAACTCTAAAGTAGAACTCTAAAGTAGGACTCTAAAGTAGGACTCTAAAGTAGAACTCTAAAGTAGGACTCTAAAGTAAAACTTTAAAGTAGAACTAACTCTAACTAGAACTCTAAATTGAACTCTAAGTATAACTCTAACTAGAACTTTAACCAGACCTCCAACTATACCTCTAACTATAACTCTAAATAGACCTCTAACTAGAACTCTAACTAAAACTCTAACTATGCCTCTAACTAAAACTCTAACTAGACCTCTAACTAAAACTCTAACTATGCCTCTAACTAGAACTCTAACTAAAACTCTAACTATAACTCTAACTCAGATGTGCAAGTGGTTGGAGAATGCTATCACACTGTTTGGAATGAAGATCAACATCAAGTCTCATCTCTCGTTTGTAAAGATGTGTGTCAGTTCACCTAACGCTCAGATACGTGGAGCAGCTCTCAATCTTATTGGAACTATGTCCATGTACTCCGGTTAGTGACAGTTCCATGTAGGGTATCTATATTTAATTTATTTTCAAACACATGTACTTGGAATATCAATATTTTCAAACTTTATGGCTCTTGCTTATTCAAATCAAAACAAAAACAATTGTAACATTATCCAACTGCTTTGGTTTTCGAAGCACAATGAATATACGTAAACTTTTTAATTTGAAACACAACTGTTCTTTCATTCAAATTTCTGATTGTTTCTGAATAGACTCAGTGAAGACAGATTATAATGGAAATAAATATTAGACATTAGAATAAACATTAGAATCTGTCTTCACTGAGTCTATTCAGAAACAATCAGAAATTTGAATGAAAGAACAATCAAATCATGAGACTCAATAACACTACACGAATCCACCAGACAACAGTCAATGTTAAAACTTAAATTTTATTTAACTGCATGGTACATATTTTGAAATGCAGCAAAACTTTTTTATCAAGTAAGTTTGTATATAAAATTGTAATTTTTGTCGCATTAATAAATTTAAGTTCAAGAAGAATATTTGGTAGAAGGTTATCGCTATTATAGACGTATAGATTTTATATGAAACATTTTAAACTAGTTTGCGTGCGATGGTTTAATTAAAAGCGAAAGACTGCATGCATAGAATATCAACACGAACAATAAAGGTATTGGTATTTGGTATCGTTAATGGAAATCGTCATTGCAGAAAACCTGAAATAAACCCCTCAGAAGGGTTTCTTTCTCGCGGCTTTAAGTTTGAAAAGATGAATATCAGGCTTGTTTCCCGATCGCGACTCTGTCCTGAATACCAACACACAAAATCTCGAACTGAATACCATCTACGCCATAATCAGATTTTGCATCTTCATTTTGACAGTTCCTCCCTGTGTAGTGGTTCTGTGTAGTGGTTCTACCCTGAGCATTTGGTTTAAATACTTTACATTCCATAACCATCTCGTAACCCTCCTCTGGGTTACAGTAAAGTGGTACTCGGATTTCTCCCTTGACTTTATCAGACTTCACAGCATAAACATAAAAAATGTAATTGCCTATGGACTTATCGCAGCTTACTTCTGGGATTCTATTGCGAAAAATTTTCACAGTGAAATTTATATTCGAAATAGAATCCCTTCTCTCTGCTTGGGTGAGTGTTCTGATTTGTCCACCTTCGAATTTTAGTACAATATCCTCTCCATATATGACCTCGTGTGGTTTTCGCAAGAATGGGATTCGCAAGTGGGATTCCAGAGATGGAGCTGTATTGTTCTGCCGGGGTCCCTACCTTTGCTAGAAACTGTTGCACGTATTTTGTGCAATAAGTTTGAAAAGAAGTGTTTGCTGACATATTTCGAATAGCTTTAGAGAGAATTTTCTCAACTATGTCTATTTCACATGATGATTTGTTGGCAGAGGTCCAAGAGAGAAGGCACTCAATGACACAAAACTGATCTGATTTATTTGTGAATGCTGTTGAAAGCACAAACATTCCATCTGCATCAAGGATCTTCCAGCATGAGTAAAGACTGCCACCTTCCTTCATGAACTTTAAATCCCGGACCAAAGCTATTTTATCGTTAATCTTCATTTTGTATCTGCTAAGTCGCTTGTATTCTTGTAATGTTATATTTTCAAAGTCTTCCAACATATCAAATAGTTCTTCAAACTGACCACGGGGACACAAACACATCATATTGGATACTTCAGGTTTGTCGAGGGAACCTAAGAAAAGGTTGTAGCTTGACTGGTCCATGAGCATCTTAACCCACGGCAGATAACCAGGGATAAGATCTTGATGTAGCAGGAGGGAAATCAGCTCCCTTTTAGCCGAGACTTCCGAAATGACACATTCCATAGCACTGTCAAGGTTTTGGTATCTTGTATCAGTGCTATCAGAACGTATCATGTTAACTAGACGTTCTCTGATAAACAATCTACTTGGTTTATACACCTCTTCTTTCAGTGATTCTATAGACGTTGTAACTGCGTTTAATTCTCCTCCAAATGCTTTGGCAGCAGCGATAGAACCATTGATTAACAAACCTACTGTGTCCAGAGTCCATCTATTTCCGGACATCCAATCCAAAATTTGATTTCGAGCTCCAGGAATGTCGAAAGCTACCATGAACTTGAGAATATCTTGAAAGTTTTCTTCAGTAAGCTTAACTGATCCACCGTAAAGAATAGACAAACATTCTCTAACATGTTTATTATCTGTTAGGAACAATTCGTTGTCTTCTTTAATAAACTCTCTGAGCACAGAACTATGTTGGGCTAACAAAACTGCACTGCATTTAAGGATTCCCGATTCCGTTATGATCTGTACTGGATCATTAAATTCATTATTTTCTAGGAAGGAAATAAAATCGGTGTTGAATTCGAGTTTCACGTAAATCTCTGCTTGGATCCTGGTTTGGTTGCCATGGTTACCATGATGTGCCATCTAGAAATAAATAAACGTGTATTAATAATTGTCTCCAGAAAATGTTTATCCAGTGGAAACCATATCCAGAAATCAGTACCTAGCTAGTCATCACATCGTACTTTTTATCACAATTTTTGTACGGCCTTGTACAGGGATGTTACCAAATTTCAGCTATTTTAAACGTAGCCATTATTTAAAAAGTTAACTATTGTGAGCTTTTCTAAACAAGAAATATTGACAAGAGTCGGTCCGACCAGTCCATTTTTACGCTATTTTAAGCTTTAAGTGCATGTGTAATAATTCGGAATGAGTGTGAACTTGCTTACCAGGCAATCATGATTTCCGCTTGGTTCTCATCAGGTCTCTAAGAAAGCCAACAGTGTGCTGATATGCATTGTCATATGTACTTCCTAGAAGCAGCACACGGCCCATTTCGGACTTGCACGAGTTATAATTATAAGTGCATGTGTAATAAAAGTATCAAATACTATTGTCAGGGTCAAAACAAGAAAAGGGAAAATGTAAACCAGGATCTAGTGGAAGGCAATATTCATCCCAATCATGCTAAGTAAATTAACTGGTGTGATGATTAATTAGGCGTATAACACACATAAAACCGGTGTCCGGCACGCACAGGGATGATTATTATTCCCGCAACGCGCGGGAAAAGCACTGATAATAATTTCGAGTGCGAAGCACGAGGGATTGTTATGCAAATAACGCCGACGTGCTTTAGCACGAGGTTTTATTTTAATATAACCTTGAGCTTGCCATGCCGGCGTTTTGTGTTATAAACTCATCCGGCAATCGGGATGTTGCTAAGAGCTAGGGCTAATTCGTTTTAATATCTACCTTTCATTCTAACTATATTAGATCAGTATGAGTATGGGGAATATGAAATGGAATTGGGACGTATATTATACTAATAGATAAATAAAACTAAGGTACTATGACAGTTGAAACTAGCGTTCTATCTATACATAGTTCCTCAGTCCGAACGTTGAATAAAAATAGCATGAAAAAGGGGCGTCGAGTTAAGCCTGGCAAGCGAAAAAAGGAGTTGATATCGTGTCATGAAGTTCATCAAAGTAGACGACTATAATACTTGGCTCATATCAAACAGTACAGTTCATGCTACGACAAAAAAAACCGTCAAGACAAGTTTGGAGCTGGTCCAAGTAATGTAAGAGTCCAAGTAATGTAAGCAGTGTGCTGACCTATGCGCGTCGTAGTAGTTAGTCACGTGATACGCGTCATCACAACACGTGACAGTGCGTGGATGAAATTTTCATGGAATATTAAAACGGAACAAATTTACTCAGCTAGTTGAGTCAAATTAGCGAGACGGGATTATAGAAACTGTGCCGGGGTTATTTATTAAACGGGAAAACCTAACAGCGGGAGCCGGGATTATCAGAATTGATTCTGATAAACCCGGCTCTCGGAGGAGTTTATAAGCACTTTGAACTATTAACAATGCTAATGCTATGGGTCAGTGGTGTAACAAATAGCTTGGCCGCATTATGGGTGTCCTGAAATAGTTACCGCGTAGCGACACTCCACTATAAATATTATTACGAAATATAGCAGCATTCACAGATATTTGTTTAAAACTAATTAGCAGAAAAGTTTAAAAATCCACTGATCGTGGTCCATCCGATTAAACATTAACGACACGAATTAAGACAGAGAAATGTAACAGAGTGGTGTTAGCATGTTGGTTTCCTGTCGTGGGGAGATGGTGGAAACGGACTCATCTACATGATGCTCACAATGAAACAGTCGAAATGAACTTATACTCATAACTTGCTATTCTCTTTAAAAATATTATGTAATATTATGTAATATTATGTAATATTATGTAAAACAGCATAATATTAATATTATAACACACATAACGCACAGGGAACTATTTAAAAATAGAACGCCAACCTTAACCGTCAAAGTAATTTAGTTTTATCTATTAAGTAATATACGTCTCTTACTTCTTATACTGATCCCAATAGTAATAGTAATAGTAATAGTACTATATTTACAGTATGTACTGAAGGGGTATTCTAGGAAGTTTCTTGAACTTTTAACAGGTACCCCTCCTCATTTAACCCTCAATCAAGTTTCCTATCATTAGGCTGAGTCAACAATGAAAGGTATATTTTAAAAGTAAAACGAATTACCCATAAGCAGTTTCCCGAATGCTCCACCAGTCTATTATTGTTCTCCGGCAATTATATCCCTGAAAAGTCGTGAACAATGAGCGCTGATAATTGCCCGCGTGTCTTGAGGAAATATTATCAAACTCCTGTTGAATCACCTTGATGTGCAGCGCTTATCGGATTACACATTTTTCTTCAGAAAGAAACATTTTTAATTTAAAAATTCGATTAATTATAATATATGAGAATCAAGCGTTACATTTCAGCCATGCAAAATTACACTGACATTATTTTGATATAAAACTAGTGGAGACAATGGTATTGCAATTATATAAGTTACATACTGTGTGGCCGTAATTACACTAGGACTTTTGGCAGTATATACCCACCAAGTCAACAAAACAACGTAGCAAAGAAACAAAATGAGTGATGAGGAGAACACAATGAAATATATTACACTGGAGTCCAGGCCATACCAGGCTGTGAGGCTGCTAATTACTAAATTGGGTGAATTTTGGGCTCTGATAATGATTTTGATTCTAATTCTTTTTTTTTAAAGACATATTTTATCATATTTCGCCATTTTTGAGTAACTCTCCAATTTCAGGCGCTGCAATACTGTCCGCGTTCTCGGATACTGACAACAAGAACACCCTCTCTCAAATTGAGGCTGCGATTGAGAAATACAAGAACGCTAAACCCCCTGCACCAACTCGGGGCATTACTGCTGATGATAATGAAGGTACGGTCATTTACCTGGTTTCACTTTCACTTTACCATTTCCTGGTTTCACTTTCACTTCACTCTTTCTTGGTTTCACGTTTATCTTCCACTAACTCATCAGTTGATAGGTTTAATTTTCACTAAATTATCAGTTTGACGGGCTAGAAATTGTTTGGTGTTTTAGTACAGACAGATCCGTCAAAAAATCGATCTACCGACACAAAAGCTTCCCAACTTTTCTAAACTTTTCCACGTGTCTTAAGTCCACTTTTTGCCACTTTTTACCACCTTTCTTGTTTGTCAAATATCTTTAGTTGTGAAGGTTGCGGATTAATCGAGAGTGTTTATCTTATCAGGAGAAAAACTTTCGTGAAGACAATTTTTACGTCAGACAATCAGTTAATTGAATAATTACCAATTAGCTAATTAGCAAAAAAATTGAATCGGCTCAAAATGATGGAAATAGCTTGAAACAATGATAAAAGTGGTTAGCAGCAAGTGTAAGATTTAGATACGGGCAAGGGGGAGTAAAGAAACGGTAATGATCAATTCAGTTAAATGAGTTCCAGGAGAGTCAGGATTTCTTGGAAATCACTTAGAAGAAGTGCACAGAATAGAGAATCCCCGGTATTTTTTAAACTTCCAGGCAAGGTGCTTGGTTTTGGGACACACTCAACTGAGTAAGGTTGAGAGACCTCAAATCTCCCTAGAAATACAGGGTGGGCCAAAAGTCAGTACCCATACGTTGGACTTTATAGCTCAGTCACTGAGTGCCCAATTTAAATACTTCCTTCTGGTATGACTTAGTACCACCACTGGTTCGAGGAATTTGCCAACTCGAAAAATATTCGCGTTCATTTTTTTCAAATGGAAGTTCATTTTCACATTTATTTCATAGTTTGGATAGTCGGATCAAGCTAAATGTTATTGAATTGTGTTTGGCCATTCGAATTACGTTTGTCCTGAAAGAATTAGAACTGTAGCTTCTCAGATGACCGAGATATGAAGCACAACGAGTTTATTCATTACGTGTGATCAGGTGATTGGTTTACCTAATCACGTGATAAGGTGACCCCGTTAACTACCCCGTTAAACATTATGGGAATTGTTAAGGGTGCCCAATTAAGGTGTCGTGTCTAGGAACCGACCGGAACGGCTTTTTTGCTGCCGGACCGGACCGGACCGGATCTCAATAAAAAATCTGGCAAGCCGGACCGGATACCGGATTCGGGCTCTTATTTAAAGGCTCGCCAGATTTTACCGGATTTCAAACAGTTGCTGCACGATAATTTCGAATATAGTATCTAGATATATATTATACCATGTCGTTAAACTTAGGAACAACAAAATCAAACTCGCCTGTGCGCCGTGCACGTGCAACAAATATAGCAATACTCATACTGCGACAATGAGCTCAGACTTGGAGTCTCCAACCTCTGCACAGTGGCTTCAGACTGTCTGGCGTTTGTGAACATTTTGCACGAGTATCTAAATTAATCTGCTGAGACTTAGTGTCTCGTCTAAACTGCTGTTGGGCGACAGTCAGCCGGGGATCGCTAAGGGGATGATATTTTGATAGTAAGATAGTAGTAAAGATATAAAAAATATAAGTTCACTCGATAAAAATAGGAATGAGTTTAAAATCCGGTTCTGGCTAAAATCAGCATTAAAACCGGACCGGACCGGACCGGATCAAAAACGGCAGGATACCGGACCGGACCGGACCGGATTTCCGGTCGGTTCTTAGTCGTGTCACGGTGTCACATAATCACCGAGATACAGAAAATGCTTGATAACTTCGTCATTTCTAATCCGTTTTGCCTCATGTTTTCAGATCATATGCAACATTTGATAATCTACCGTCTTTGAAAACATTAGGCGTTCAGCATGTTCAGAGAAAACAATATAGGTGTTTTAATATTGAATGGGCATGGTCTAAAATATTCGAATTTTCAAATTTTGACGACGGAATCCTCGAACCAGTAAGTACAGTATGCTCAAATATAAAACACGGCGGAGCTATTAAGGCCAACGTATGGGTACTGACTTTTGGCCCACCATGTAGATATCAACAGAGTGTGAGCCACTGCCTGACTAACCTGTGAATACTAATAGAGTTCGCCCGACTCTATGAGTATGGCAAACAGTATCTTCTGATTGTTGATATTCTGAGTATCCTTTGTCCGTGGTGCTGGTTATAAGTTCTTGTTGTGGGTGGTAGAAGGATAATTTCTGACGCCAAACTCATTTACCTAGATTAATTATTTGTTATATTACACTATGAGTATGTCAGACAGTATCTTCTGTGTTGTTGAGATTCTGAGTATCCTTTGTCCGTGATACCAGGTATAGTAATTGGTAGGTAGTAGGAGGATCATTAGAAAGCTGAAACAGATTACCTTAGTCGGTAATATTATGGGGGGGATTATGGGTGTAACAAATATGGACTATTATAATTATGGTTCTTTGGCCCAAAAAGAACCAAATTTGACCCCCCATAATTGTAACTGAGACTTTCCTTTCGTGAAAAAATCTCAAATCGAATTGTACACTGCAACGAAACAGCTGCTGCTGAACTTGTATTATTCATCTAAAGTTGCTGATCTGAAATTTAAATTGAAATTGTTCCTAGTAGTTAACCGCTCAAATTGAAAGGATGGGGGAATATTAGAGAATTCGGACTTTTTGAATCAGAACTAGCTTCAATTCAGCAAACAATAACGTATTAAGCATACTTCTGGACGTGAATGAAAGAAAGATCAAGCATATCATGACTGATATACCAAAAGGAACACCAAAATTTGACTCGGGAGTCGGGGGGTTAAATTATGGGGGGTAAAAATATGGACTGTTATAAATATGGTTCTTTGGCCCGAAAAGGACCAAATTAGACCCCCCATAATATTACCGACTAAGGTAGGCAGACATTACCTAGTCAAGTTAAAGTCACGTGTAAAACGCTGTCACATGAAAAACGGTGATAATAGATTAAACACAGAAGTGGCAACATTGGTTTCGCAATCACTGCTAGTAATGAGGGTAATTAGCACGGGGCAGGGTGGATGGATAGACAAATTTGAAGGTCTAATCAATTTAAGAAAATCAGAAACATAGATGATAATTATGGAAAAACAATCAGTGAAGAAGCTAAGAAATGGTCACGTGAGGTATACAAACAAATACCGCATTAAGGACCATTTATAATACATAAATAATACATGTATTACCCCCCAGTTCCATAGCGGATATTATGCCAAATTATTAGACGGAGGTCCATTTCTACGGTGATGATTCTCCGGCTCCGTCTACTGTATTAGACGGAGATGAAGCTCTCCGGGAATTTCTCGGAGATTGTAGCAGTTTGTGGCAGTTTCTTTGCACTTTGCTCCATCTGTGAGAATCAACAAAATTACCGTAGATGGTCTCCGGATAAGGTTATGGAACTGCAAACCGGAGAAATATCCGAAGAAATATTAGTTGACGATCTCCGTCTAATAATTTGGCATAATATCCGCTATGGAACTGGGGGTTAATACACGTATTGTGTCGTATTGTGATTGAATACAGCTCAAGATGTACTTACATCACCCACCGAATTAGCTATGATCAATCACATTCGGTCTGATTGTGGAGGAAAAGTAGAGGTCTAGTACATCCCGGTTTAGATTGGCACGATTGACGCGGACAGTATAGAGAGGTTTTATTGATTACAAATATGATTATCCCAACCCACTGATTAATCATTGAAATCAATAAAATGATAGTACAGCAGGCTATCTGTTCGATCTTGAATGGGCCTTCGGTGCAGTTTCTGTGAAAATTGATAAGGCTGTACTGTAATTAAATATGAAACTCTAATATCGTGTACGGTGTGGTATACGTTTTTCAGTTTCGGACGTTTCCACTTGTAATTCCTGATTACTAAAATGTGCCGAGATTTACTGAACTACAACTACAAATATTGATGTTAGTATTCTTGAAACGAAAAATGTTCAGAGTTTTTCTGAAAAACATTTTTCTCCGTGTTTCAAGCTATTCCGATAATTTTAAGTCAATTAAACAATTTTTTAAATTTTTTGCTAATTAGCTAATTGTTAATTATCCAATTAACTGATTGTCTGACGTAAAAATTGTCTTCACAAAAGTTTTTTTCCTTGAAAAGATAAACACCCTCGAATAATCCGCAACCTTTTACGATGTTCACAACTAAAAATATTTGACAAACAAGAAAGGTGGTAAAAAGTGGTAAACGTGGCAAAAAGTGGCCTTAAGACACATGGAAAAGTTTTTTAAAGTTGGTCAGCCATAAAGGGCACCTAATGGGACTCAAAAACGTTAAAAATCCTCAAGAAGCTTCTTGTGTCGGTAGATCGATTTTTCTCAGACGGATCTGTCTGTACTATTTGCCTTTATTTAAGTTTCGTGAATTCTTTTCTTTTCAATTTCCACCTTAGAAGATCAACATCGTTAGCCCTACTCCAGCATGCCTAAAACACTCCTCAAAAAACACATTACACAGGTACTTTATTATTTATAATTTGTAAATTTATTAGGTGGAGCAGATGGAGAAGGTGAAGCTGAAGCAGACGAGGGAGGAGCTGAAGAGGCATTGGATCTGGAGGACCTCATTGAGAGAAAAGACATTTCAGCGGACCTTGACAAAGCTTGCTCGCTGTAAGTTTCCGTTTTGGTTTCTGTTTCTGTTTTAGCGGACCTTGACAAAGCTTGCTTCCTGTAAATTGACTTTATATACCCTATACTTTTTAACATGTCAATAACTAATATCACTAATGAGTATTACCTAATGAGAAGGTAAAGCTATGATAGCAACAGATGAACTAATGGGTGACCGACAACTGAACCCAATTGAACGTACTATTTTCCTTTCAATAACAGTTAATTCGAATCAAAATAAGAAGTTATTCCTTGTAGCAAGCAAGATACATTATATATTATACAGGTTAATACTTTGGAATGTTAAGACAAAGCTAGGATAGCAACGAATGAACTAATGATGTCATCATTTTCTGCCCTACCATCAGATTCTTCCAATCAACGATGTAACAATACCAAATTGCCATTTTTATCTTCGGGTAATCAGAATTACAAGGAAAATAGTAATTACTCCAGTAGCAGGGAGGTGTTGAGTGTGCACTTCGATGTATAGAGTTTTTTGCTATTGAATCGGGTTAAATAGGTCATTGGTAACTCAAATCACCGAGGGGGGAATTTTGTGTCGCTAGTCCCAACCCTGTGGAGCCACGCCCATATTTCATATCAGGTGCGTATATGGGAAATATGTATCTCAGCTTCTGAAGGTCTTAGAGACTCAAATTTGAGTTTAAAATGACCGCAATACACATGTTTATATTAGTACTATGAAGGTCATGAAAGCCCAAAATGCTTCTTTTTGGAAAAAAATTCAGAAAAACCGATTTTCACTTGAGCGTGAGTAAAAAACTCTACTCTAGAAATTTAGTGAAAATCGAGTAAGCAGTTCAGTGTCTACAAGATTTCTAAACACAGGGTCCTCTGTTAGGTCATTCTGAATTAGAATTGATAAAGTAAGCAAATTCTATAAGTAGTTTCAACCCTGTGGAGCCACGCCCATATTTCATATCAGGTGCGTATATGGGAAATATGTATCTCAGCTTCTGAAGGTCTTAGAGACTCAAACTTGAGTTTAAAATGACCGCAATGCACATGTTTATATTAGTACTATGAAGGTCATGAAAGCCCAAAATGCTTATTTTTGGAAAAAATTCAGAAAAACTGATTTTCACAAGCAAAAAATCTACTCTAGAAGTTAAGTGAAATCGAGTGTAAAGTTCAGTGTCTACAACGTTTCTAAACATAGGATCCTTTGTAAGGTCATTCTGAATCAGAATTGATAAGGTATGCAAATTCTATTAGTAGTTTTAACCCTAGGGTGCAAAACTCCTAAATTACCCCCAGGCGCAAATATATGACTTTTCTATCTCGGCTTCTGAATGTTGTAGGGGCCTCTCTTTGAGCTCAAACTAACTACAATGGCCACATTTATATACCGACTATAAAGCAACATAGGGGGGGAGCCAAGTGGATATTTGTAGATATTTGTAGATTAATGTAGAGTGGATAATCCACGAAAAAAGTGGATGACATTCTACAAATTTATACATTTATCTCCAAAATTTCAGTAGAATTTCTGGGCACATATTTGAGATTACATTTTTTGTAGATAAATGTAGATATTTGTAGATTATTGTCAATGGATAATTCACGAAAATTCTACAAATTCTACAAATTTATACATTTATCTCCAAAAATTCAGTAGAATTTCTGGGCACATATTTGAGATATACATTTTTTGTAGATAAATGTAGATATTTGTAGATTATTGTAATGGATAATTCACGAAAAAAGTGGATGACATTATCCAAATATCTACAAATATCCACTTGGCCCCCCCCCCCCCCCCAACATAGGGTCTATATAGCTTAGTTTATAGAAATTCATTAAAAACTGTTTTAACCTTCATGCATCATAAAATAGTAATATGATCAAACATGTACTTAATAATGATATCTCGGGCTAAAAAGATATTTGCAGCACAGTAAAACGTTCAACATAAACACATTAGGATAAAATTTATGGAGCAGCACATACCACCTAACTTTAATTTTGGTATTATTATTAATCAACTATATACAGCAAACACAAGATAATATAAATTAAATCATAAAATCGAGTGGCCGAGTAGTCTCGACTCACCCATAACTTCTCCAAAGGCGTCTATCATGAGCTTTGTACACTAAATCGTTGAAATTACTTAAACTAAATCTTTTATTTACAATCACAATAATTTGTTTTGTCATAATGTCTTTTAATAATAAATCAAATAAATTTGAACGAGGTCTGCCCCTCCTTCCTTTGTAGTCAAAACATCCTAAACATGCAAATCTGAAAGATAAGAAGGCGGGAGTGTCATCACCGCTTCTGAGAACGTGCCCAAGCATCTTCCATCTTGCTTTCTTGATCCTTTCAGTAAGGGGTCTGACATTACATCTCTTATATAAATTCTCGTTGCTGATAACCGTAGGCCAATAGGTGTTGATTATCTGTCTCAGATGCTTCCTTTGAAGAACGTCGACAGATGCCATTACGGTTTCAGGAGCAGCCCAGCTGCTACAGTTATACAACAGCACTGAAGTGACAAGAGCTTCGTACAGCTTCAGCTTTCTACTCTCACTGATCTGAACAGAACTATTCAACCAGACTTTCTTGTAGGTGTAGAAGGCAACATTGGCTTTGTTGCGTCTGTTGACAATATCTCTTTCTGAACAGAGCTTTGATCCTAATAGCACTGACTCTCGCCACTCTTCATCTCCTCTAATTTTATTGCCATGAGCATCTAAAGCATCTGTATCTGCCAAATACACTCTTGTAAACACCGTCTTTGATTCGTTAACAAAGAGACTCCAATCCTTTAGTATATCACTGGCAATTTTGGTATAACTGCGAAAATACTCAGTTTCAGAAGGCTGCCTTCAGCTCCCTCTCTGGGGCTCTCTCCAGTACAGCTGCTCGGCTATTATGGCTAATCAACTTGAATCCAACCTCATGTAGCAGAATCTACTTCTAGCTGCCTTCTGCTAACTCCAGGTCAACTCTACCCAGCTACCACCATACGTTATGATTTTAGATCTTATAACCTCTGATATGAGTGCTACCTCCGCTGCATCCAACATTTATATACCGACTATAAAGCAAAGTCCTTTCGAAGGCAAACCAAAAATTAGGCATGGCGAGAAGAAATTGTTATTTTGTCCAAGACGTAAATCGTCGTAGAGTACTGTATCTCACTTTAGTGAGGAGCCTATTTGAGCATTGCTCGGTTATATGGAGACCAGTCACAAAATCCCAGATAAGCAAGCTGGAGGGCCTCCAAAAGCGTGCTATTAAGTGGATTCTTCACGAGGAGTATATGAGTTATCCACTATCCACATACATTCAAAAATGCAGACAGCTGAAGATTATGCCGATTGAAGACCGCTTTGACTTCTTGGATCTCATCTTCTTCTTTAAAATTGTGAAGCAACATATACCTGTCACTTTACCCTCATATTTGCAACCATTTCAAGGCCACTCAAGGCTCAGAAATAGTCACATGGACTCTCTATGTTTTGTAAGCTCTATCTCACCTCGAGCTAGCTCCAACGCTTTTGCCAAGAATTTCTTCTATAGGACCCACACTAAGTGGAATCACATTCCTCTAGATATCCGTGAGATAGAGAGTATCACTGATTTTAAAAGTAAACTTTCCACTTACATGTGGGGGAAAATTATCCCGGTGGATTCGGACTCTGAACTTGACTATTCAATAGAAACAAATCCGTAAAATAGTTTATTCAAGATTATCTATTCTTGCTGTCTGCATTCACATATTTCTCAATTTCATCTCACAGCACAATATTTTATGAATTGATTGAATGGGTGTGTGATTTTGTTTAAAGTAACTTATTACAATTTTATAAGGGCCCATGCTTGTGCAGGAGCTGCATTTGCACTCAATATCTGTGTTTTGGTGACTCTCAGGTCCTTTGGTTACATACATTTTGTCCGAGACAATTTCAACTTTGACAATCCATGCTTAGAGGACAATATTATATTTAACTAATTCATTGTGTAAACTTGTATGTAATTGACTGATTTGAAAGATTTCAATAAAAAAAAACTTAACTTCTAGAGTAGATTTTTTGCTTATGAAAATCAGTTTTTCTGAATTTTTTCCAAAAATAAGCATTTTGGGCTTTCATGACCTTCATAGTACTAATATAAACATGTGCATTGCGGTCATTTTAAACTCAAGTTTGAGTCTCTAAGACCTTCAGAAGCTGAGATACATATTTCCCATATACGCACCTGATATGAAATATGGTCGTGGCTCCACAGGGTTGAAACTACTTATAGAATTTGCTTACTTTATCAATTCTAATTCAGAATGACCTAACAGAGGACCCTGTGTTTAGAAATCTTGTAGACACTGAACTGCTTACTCGATTTTCACTAAATTTCTAGAGTAGATTTTTTTACTCACGCTCAAGTGAAAATCGGTTTTTCTGAATTTTTTTCCAAAAAGAAGCATTTTGGGCTTTCATGACCTTCATAGTACTAATATAAACATGTGTATTGCGGTCATTTTAAACTCAAATTTGAGTCTCTAAGACCTTCAGAAGCTGAGATACATATTTCCCATATACGCACCTGATATGAAATATGGGCGTGGCTCCACAGGGTTGGGACTAGCGACACAAAATTCCCCCCTCGGTGATTTGAGTTACCAATGACCTATTTAACCCGATTCAATGGCAAAAAACTCTATACATCGAAGTGCACACTCAACACCTCCCTGCTACTGGAGTAAATATATTCTTTTAACTGAGTCGGAATTATGACACAAATCATTTGATACAAGGTCACATATTTTGTTATAAAATTACTCAACCATTCGCCTAATGTAGCATAAAACTAAAAATCACTATAATGATTGTTTGAAAACCTATCTTATCGGAAATTCGTGCCCTAATCTATTCTTAATTTAAGATCTTATGCACATATATTTCGGATCAAATCTCTGAAATCCTCAAATTTTAGTCCTGTACCATATTAGTAGTGTTAGTCTTCCGGTAAGA